ATGACTTATATTGAATTTTGTAACTAGCTCATCAAGATTGTAACTTGCTTAGCTAAATGAATTGTGGGGTTCAGTCCCTGAGCCCATTATGTGCCTCTGTAACCCTTTCCACTACCGCCCACAAGATGGGTATGGGGTGCATAATAAATGAACTAAACTAAAAAAACTGACCCTGTCCCTCTGTCTCTGTGTTTCTGTCCCTCTGTCTCTGTCCCTGTCTCCCTCCCTGTCCCACTGCCCCCCCCCCTCTGTTCCCCGTCCCTCCTCTGGCCCTGTCCGTTTGTCCCTGTCCCTCTGCTCCTGTCCCTGTCCCCCTCTGTCTCTGCCTCTCCTCGTTTCTGCCATTCTCTGTGTCAGCCTATCTCTCTGTCTCTTTCCTCGCTCTATCTCTGTTATTCTCTCACTGACTTTGCATATCCTTATCTATCCGTCTCTGTGTCTAACATTCTGCCCGAATTTTATGCCCGAATTTTATGCCCGATTTTATGCCCGAAACGCTTTGCCTAATAGTGGCTTTAGGCATTGTATGTACTAGCTCTACCTATAAGTCAAACAATCCTTGTAAATATTTATTGTATGTATGTACCTTACCTAAATAAAATTGTATTGTATTCTCTCCCTGACTGTCTATATCTATTTCTCTGTCTCGGTCTTCATCTCTTTCTCTCTCTCTCCTTCTCTCTCTCCTCTCCTCTCTCTCTCTCTCTCTCTCTCTCTCTCTCTCTCTCTCTCTCTCTCTCTCTCTCTCTCTCTCTCTCTCTCTCTCTCTCTCTCTCTCTCTCTCTCTCTCTCTCTCTACATACATACATACATACATACATACATACATACATACATACATACATACATACATACATACATACATACATACATACATACATACATTTATTTAACACATGTGGTACACGCACAAGGGGACACAGGTGGAAGCTGAGTACCCAAATGAGCCACAGAGAGATTATAGAAAGAACTTTTCAGTGTCAGAGTAGTTAATAAATGGAATGCATTAGGCAGTAATGTGGTGGAGGCTGACTCCATACACAGTTTCAAATGTAGATATGACAGAGCCCAGTAGGCTCAGGAATCTGTACATCAGTTGATTGACGGTTGAGAGGCGGGACCAAAGAGCCAGAGCTCAACCCCTGCAAACACAACTAGGTGAGTACATACATACATACATAAGATATAAAACAGTGGAGGATTCCCAGGTAGAACAATCAACCACAATGCCCATTACCCCTTTACCCTGTTGTCCTTAACTACACAACTATACAAGAGTCATTAACACGTGTAATGGCTGATCCCCCATAACGATAGCATGAAGACCAATTGCCTGACCCGCAGTTCGTCTTGCTCCTCAAATAATTTTTGTCTTGTCTTCGTCTTGTTTGTGGAGAGAGTGAAACCGAGCTCAATACACTTCCTTCCAAGGAGTTCAATGGACTGTTCAATTTTTCCCAAGGTGGGAGCTTGTATTAGGACATCATCTGCATATCCCACTTGTTGTGTTCCTTCCGGAAAATCAATATTTGCAATGGCGTTCATAAGTACATTGAATAGTGTAGGGCTTAAGACTCCGCCTTGGGGTGTCCGGAGTTCCATATTTATTGTTCTGGAGACTGCTCCATTGAAGCAAACCTTGGCTTTCCTTCCTGTGAGGTAGTCTGCAACCCATTTCATGAGTCTCCCCTTGACACCCATGCATGCAAGCTCGTCTAGGATCGCAATCCCCTGTGCTTTGTCGAAGGCTCCTTTGATGTCAACAAATACAGAGTACCTAGCCGTGTCATTAGCCAAGTAATTAACTCTACAATTTGCTGTGCTCCGTCCTTTAACAAATCCATTGACCCCCTCCCCTAACCTGCCTATTTTGCGCAACAGTCGGTTTAGGATGATCCTTTCAAGCATCTTGGATCACGTCCTGTTTTCGCGTTTTGGCTTTGCTACTGCCGTTTGGCATCCCTCTTCAACGGTCCGATTGTATGACACCTGGCGCACATATCGCCTTGGGTCACAGGATTGTTGATAGATTTTTTTTTTTTGGCGTGTTCTGGCTGGTTCTCCCGGCGGGGTGACGGTGTTCGGGGGCCGGCTTGGCCGAGAGGTGCCGGGGGTTGGCGGGTCTTGGTGGGCTCCAGGTGTGCCCTCAGCGTGGGGGGCGGCCGGCTTCTGCTCTGCCGAAGGACACTGGATGACTCTTTGCGTTTTAGTTGGGGGCTGAGTATTGGTTTTGCTACCTGGTGTTCTCGGTGTGGGGCGGGGCCGGTGCTTGTCACCCTGAGGGACTCCTGGGACTCCCCAATCATCTGCCTGACTGTGCGTTTATTTGCCGTATGGCATATTAGCTTCTAGTGATTGGCGTCACTCGTTTCGCGTTTTGGCTTGGCGTTTCACCTTTCCTGGCTTCGCGATTCACCCTTAACGGATACGCCGGGGCGCATCCGATCCCACGATCGTCGTCGCCCGTAAATCAACAACATAATTGCAAATTCCATTCGTCTTCATCTTGAAAAACATAAATTAATAAATGATTCACAACGTGGTTTTACAAATGGCCGTTCATGTTTAACAAATTTGCAATCATTTTATTCCAGCATAGTTGAGGCAGTTGATAGTGGTAAGGTTTATGATGTGTACAAATCCACCAGGGCCGTGACAAGGCATAAACCAGGATTTTACACAACTCCTCCCTGGAGTTGGGGGGAGCTGGGCACTTAATATTATTAACTAATTGTTATATTCCCTAACAATATGGAAATCTTGTCTTTCAAATTTTATCTATCTTAATAATTTTCTGTCAATATATGTATTCTATTTCAAGCTCTTATTAAATTGAGGTCTCTTCAAAAAAATGTCAATGTTCATATGATATGAACAAATCCACAAGGGCTGTGATGAGGGTTCGAACTTACGTCCAAGAGGAGAGGAGAGAAGAGGAGAGAGCATTCTTATGACATGATACTGAATCAATGTGAACAAGACAATGCAAACAACAGCAGTTGTTACAGTGATAATGACATTAATACATATATTACAAAAAAAACAGGAGACAATTCATAGTAATCACCTTTTTTAGTAATATACAGCTTAGAATAAAGAATGTAAAGCTTTTTTGTATATAATGCACAATTATAATAGCAACTATTACTACAGTATTTTTGTCCTTGTATAATTTGGAATTTACTTTAATTTTGTAAAATTTATAAAGGTACAACCATTTATAAATAAAGTTTAAAATTACCATTTAAAGCTAATTTATTTAAATAAATTATAAGATTAAATACTTTTAATACAAAAGTTGATTTAAATATTATTTTAAATTTTACAGGCTAACCTAACCATTCACATTGTTGCATAAATTTATTATCAAAGTTGCAAAAAGGAACATATAATAATTGAACCTTGCATATATTTATTTCCTCTGGCCTTTTCTTAACACATTAAAACCTTTAAAATCTAAATAATCCTACATAAATACTTTCATCTGATTGTGTTAAGAATTGAGCTTAAATCATATCAACTCCCACCAGGATTACAGCCATTGTAACCTACCAGAAATTATACTTTATTCCTTAACATTACCCAGTACTAATGTAAACTAAGTATGTAGCCAATAAATTGTGTACACATTTCAAACATGCCACCACTCGACCCTCAATTCCACCCTACCAGCCAACAATATTTCAACTAGAAGATATACAAGGCCTTCACAGGAGCCAATTAGAGAGTATACTTTATTCCTAAACATAAAGGTCTAAAATAAACTACCGGTATGTACATGCAGGGCTCACAGAGTACAAAGATAAACACACTTTGGTGAAGATGTAACTTATTTTGTTAATAAACATTAACAAATACAAAACTTATACTGTATGACTGATTGGTTCTCCAGTTTGACCCAGCAATGTGATTGGCTAAACGGCATCTTGAGATGATTTCGGGGCTTTTTTTAGTGTCCCAGCAGCCCGGTCCTCGACCAGGCCTCCACCCCCAGGAAGCAGCCCGTGACAGCTGACTAACACCCAGGTACCTGTACCTATTTTACTGCTACGTAACAGGGGCATACGGTGAAAGAAACTCTGCCCGTTGTTTCTCACCGGCACATGGGATCGAACCCAGGACCACAGGATCAAAAGCCCAGCGTGCTGTCCGCTCAGCTCCCAATAAATGATGGCATGATGGATATGTTACCTTCACTGACTAGTTAAATGAAACGTAGTATTGACCTGTCCCGCTGTAGGTGTATCAAACCAAAATCCCTATTAATAATTATTGAAGTCACCGAAACAGCTTCCTGAACCTTACAGATGGGAAGGAATGGATGAGATTCTTCTTGCAGACAATGAGTCATAGTAAGGTGGCTGAAGATATAACCAAACCACACATCAGAAAATGGAGAAATGATGACGTTTTGGTCCATACTGGATAAGTATAGGCAGGTGCTACTTACTGTTACTATGAACCTTCATGGAACAGCCATTTAAGAAAGATACATTGCTCAATCTAGGTCCTTTTAAATTAGACCATAGGTTCTTGTCTAGCAAAAAACGAAAGATACATCTGTACTGGCGTTCTCTCATCTGGTCAAGATTCTTTATATTCAAATGTGGACAGGACAGTTCCTGTAACTGTACTATGTGGAATGGGAAAGCCTATCCATTTTGTTACTAATAAATAATCACAGCTGGAAGGTACATTTGGCAGTTTAATTTAATGAAATCTGCAATAATAGTTAGTAATTATTTTAGTGTAATTTTTGTCAGTTTACAAACTGAAATCACAAGCAGCAGTTCAACAGGTTTCTTCTAAAAATACGAAGTGTTAGCACCAACATCTAGTAATTAGAAACCAAAGTGAGATGGTTCAATTGTTTCTAGTAAAAACAAGTGCAATAATTTAAGATGTTGAATTTAACCAATCTCGATTTAGTTTTCATTATCGTACATAGGGTGGTACAAATTTGTCCATTCTAAAAGGTTTTGTAGAGAAACAACATTTGGTTTACATATCTATGTATTAATACATATTTATGCATTATAATGTTTATATAAACAATATCCTAACAACATTTGAAACTGTTATTGTACAAGGCATACCCCAGTTAGCAGAGCGGAAGGTAAATGGGGCATGGGGGTGGAAGTTCCTGGAAGTGGGATTTCTTACTGAACCAACACTTTCAGTCACTATAGCAATTCTTATAGAAATGCATTTTCAACATTATAATATATTAATGATGACATGTTAAAATGGCATGGGTTAACTGGAAAAATTATAAAACATTCTATAAATACCTACAGTATTATACAACATTCTATAAATACCTACAGTATTATACAACATTCTATAAATACCTACAGTATTCTCACATTCTTTGTATATGAAAAATGCACGTCCAGACACACATTAAATTATGAACTGGAGAAGGATGGTTGGTATAAATTTGTCAACTCCCCACCTCCCTCATTTATAATAAGTGGGAGGTGTACATCTCAGATATTAATTTAAACGGGTGACCGATTAAACGAGTGTGTTGTAGCCATTTGAAAAAATATATGACAGAATTTCATATTATGCTGTACATATAGATAAAACAAATCAAGAGAATGTGCTATAAAAAACCTATGCTCTTCTGGGCAGAGCTAATCGAGGTATGTCTATACATTTTAATCATCTTCATCGTCGTCATCATCGTCATCATCGTCATCACCATCATCATCGTCGTCATCATCATCATCATCGTCCTCCTCAGGGTTTCCTGCATTTACTACTAGTTGTCCATCAGAATCATCATCATCTTCATCAACGGCATCATCGTCGTCGTCGTCGTCATCTTCATCTTCGTCATCATCTTCATCGTCGTCATCATCATCATTATCATTGCTTTTATCATCTAACACCTGAAACAAAATTACACATTAATATATAGGGCAACTGGTTCATTGTTATATATTAGGAGTGAGCAGTACCTACATGGTAAACACTTCAATAAATCAGGATCATTTATAACACTTTTATCTTTAATGAGTAAAATAGAGAATTACGGTAAACCCTTTATCTGGATATCTCTAATCTAATAAGATAACAACAACCCCACCAACTATCATTATGTGGTACACTCGACCTTCCCAAGTTTTCTTCCCATTATAGATTATAACAGTTGTTTGTGATTTTGGAGACCAAACAAATTAATCTAAATACAGGGTATACATGTATAATAAATGATTAGTTAAGAATATCAATGAACTCTGAGAAATTAGGGAAATTGGTAATAAAAGAGAAATGGGTTGGTTGGATTAAGAGATGGCACGAGCAGTTGATGCCAAGAAAAGTAGTTTCCAAATTGAGTGAACAAGCAAGAAGGAATTTCTGTAAATAAATGGGAAAGGCCTAAATGAAGAAAATACGCTGCAGAAACAAATATAATGAAAGAAAATTGCTGGAATAGGTGTGGATAATTTGCCAGAAAGCATGGGATAGTGGACCTGATATATATACTGTACCAGGACACTGGAGAAAAAAAAATTAGCTGTGATGGTACCACTGTACAAAATATAAACATTTGAATGGTGAAATGCTGGAAAATTAAACAGTTGAGTTTTCCAGGTGCGAGGAGGAAATGGAAGAGTTGTTGACAGCAAATGCAATGATGGAATTTGTAGAATAATAATATAACCAGTTAATCCCTTCAGGAGGGAAATCAACAAGAAACAAAAGATCACTTCTTGGTTCAACTGTTGGGGGGGAAAGAAGGTGAGGGTGTCCCAAGTGTAAATGTGAATCGGGATTTCTTGGTGGATACTGAAACATCAAACCCCTCTCCAAACACAGCTCCTTGTGTTTGAAGAGGGGTTTGTAAGTTGAAGCTAACTGTAACCATCTAGCCTCCAACAGACAGACATTCTTTCAGTTATAGATGAAGCTTACCTCTTCAAAATACTGAACCAATGTGTGAAATTTTATAAACAACTTAGAAAACAAGTCTTAATTCTACCGTTACTAAAACCTTTCTACATTAAATATGATAAAGTACATACTTTAACTTTCTGCTTTTTGCTAGGAGAACTACTCTCTGAATCATCACTTGCAGGCCTCTTGTTTTTCCTGGAAAAAGAAGAGAGTTGAAAGGTATGGATTTTTAATTGAAGAAAATGTTAAAAGTACTATCAATGATTAATATTAATTTTAACAATTTACCCCAGTTAAATTATGTTAACGTGTTAATTAAGTCAACCCAATTGCCCTACATGATCATGGTAGAAATTGTGACTTACATAAAATTTATGTTATTGGATGGAAGAAACAATGAGTTAAAAATCAAATATTTTATAGCTAGCCTTACTATGCATTCAACATTAAACAAGTAATAATTAAAAGTACTAGTAGGTAGTGGTAATAGAATAAATAATATTGATTATATAACTAATAAAAAAATGAGAAATCATTTGGAGAAATGCATGGGTTTGAACCATTGCTCTGGTGACTACCAGATGCTTGCACCATTCTGCTTCCAAAGGACAAAACCTATTCAACCCGAAACCCCACTGGAGAACGTCCGGAACTTGCCCCCCCCCCCTCCCCAATGTATATTTATTTAAAAACAAATACATACCACATTGTTGACTTAAAGGTGTTTTGAATCTCTGGCTTATGTGCAAAGTTTATTTCTGCTAGCTTCTGTTTTACTTCATCAGCCTGTGCCTCTGTGTCAAAATGCATATGAACCATTCTGAAAAAAATCCCAATAAATACTTATCAAAGAATATGATTTCTATACAAAACAAGTAACTACTTTAAAGGATTCGATTATTTTAGCAAACCTGACATTATCAATAATGACAAATGTTTTGTGGAGAGTGATCAAAGCTGGAAGTCTTGTCATGGTTTCCCGGCTTTGCAATAAACCTTCACAAAATGTAATTACAGTAATTTTTATGGAATTACATGCACAACAGTGGATGTATATGTAATAATGCAAGTCATGCTCTTAAAAGTTATAAAATTATATACAGTCTGGTAGTTATAAATAAGCTAAGTTATTTATCAAGCTTAAAATAATTTGAGCATAATCATAACAAAAATCTTTAAATTTAAAATGTTCAAAAAATTTGAAAGTTATATTATCTGGAAATCTGAATGGTGACAAAACTACTTTCCAATTACTATTAATACTGTACTCTGATTATGTAACAATAACAGTACAGTATTAATGAAATTTATACCAGTTGAATTAGTTTAATAATTATACTGTATTATTGAAAAAATGTGGTTACTTGTACATTATTAATATTGAATGAACACTATATCTGTATTTAATCTATATTAAAGCTACAATATATACACTAGTTGCATTTAACATTTTATATGAGAACTTTCATATTAGTGCATATTGTATATGAGTGTCTGGATATAACTGAATTAGATCTCATGTATTTGACCCCATCCCTGGACCATATATGTATTGTTGGTCTTCCATATACTGTACTGTAATGAGGATATGAAGACATTCCAGGCAATTAAATAATTAATACTGTATACTGCTAAACTGGTGAAATTCAATAGCACTCATTTTCCTCAAACATAAGCATCTAGATTTCAAGTCAATGCTGTTGTGTGTTTCAGACAGTGAATAGAAATCAGAAAGAACAATTTTAAAAAACTATAACTAAAAATCAAATCAAATAACAAAAAACTACAGAACCCCTTAAAATTTTAACAGCACTAAAAACATACCTTCCAATCCTGAAATCAGTGGCAGCACTTGCAATCTCGAAAATCTTTTTGACATCATCACCTTCTATATAATCGTTGAATGCTACATAGACCCCACATGGATCAAACTCCTTTTGTTGTGCAGTCTGTAATAAAAATTAAAAACCTATTATGTAGTACTTTCCTGGTCTGCAGAGAATAAGACTAATAGAAATTGTTAAACAATTAAAAGTAGATTAGTGTCAGTAGAAATAAAAAGAGCATCTATGCATCTTGCAATATGACACTGTATATACATAAACACAATATATGAGTATCACTCATTCATTGAGTATGTCACAATATTGTACATTATTCACCAAAATGTTTACTATTCTTGCCACATCAAACTAATCTCATGTTTTTTAAATTACATCAATTTATTTCTTACCCAGTCACGGTCTCCTCCTCTTCCTCCGAAACCTCCACGTCCTCTGAAACCTCCACGGTCTCCTCCTCTGAAACCTCCACGGTCTCCTCCTCTGAAACCTCCACGTTCTCCTCCTCTGAAACCTCCACGTCCTCCTCGGAACCCTCCACGGTCTCCTCCTCTGAAGTTACCTCGGTCTCCTCCTCTGAAGCTACCACGGTCTCTTCCTCTGAAGCCACCACGGTCTCCTCTGAAGCTACCACGATCTCCTCCTCTGAAGCCACCACGGTCTCCTCCTCTGAAGCTACCACGGTCTCCTCCTCTGAAGCTACCACGGTCGCCTCCTCTGAAGCCACCACGTACTCCTCCCCTGAAGCCCCCTCTGCCCTCTTTTGCTCCACCTTTTGGAGATGCATCGTTTGAGGTCTCATTTCCAAATTTATTACTGCCAGACGTCTCCACTTGTGGGCTAAAATCCATTTTCTCCTGTTTTTGTTTCTTATCCTTCTTCTTCTTCCCTACTTTTTGCATCTGGTTTTCATCCACCTGTTTGTTTCCCTTGGATACTTGAGGGCTATCTATTTTAAATGCCTTTGGTGTCTCATTATCTGCTACTTTGGGAGACTTTTTCCCCATTTTCTTGGCTGATTTTGGAGTTTTGACTTCTATATTTTCCTTAACAGCTTTTGGTGATTTGTCTACTTTTTTCTCTGCCTTTTGTGAAGGTGCCTGAAATATATTTAAAACAATAGGCAATGGTTGATTAGATGCCAAGATTAACTATAGTACAGTAGTCACTGTTAACCTCTAAACATGTATGAACATACACCAAAGTTTATAAACTTGACAAGAATGGATATGTATGATATATTTATTAGAAAATAAATTATTGATATAGGTAGAACTATCTGTGTAGTAGTATATAGTCACCTGTATCCAGCTGGTTGCCATTACGACACACTCAAGCAACTTATTAAAAAAATAAAGGGTCCAACTTTTGCATGGGGTGAGAATTTGCAATGTTTTCTTACATCTGATAACTGTTCGCCTATCAGTAAATGGGTAAATTGGAAGTTCGGCACTGTTGAGTTTTATCCTGGAAAATGACCAGTCATTGGCTAGGGAAAAATTGACAAGCCTAACAGGTTTCTTGAAAGGTGCATTACGGTGCCCCAGTTGCTGGTCACCAAAAACAAAGGACTGTATGTACTACACAATATCTCTAAATTAATTAAAAATGCAACCATGTAACCATGCATATTAACCCTTCAACTGCACAACATCCAGGAATGCTCAAGCCAATTATCCATTAATTGTGTGAGACAGTCATGGATTGTTTTAAAGTATCTCATAAGATTGAAAATTCCTGCAGGTATACAAGGCTCACATCTACTTTCTCAGGCCTCCAATAAACAGACACCATCTAGTAAAAAATTGTGGGCATCCCTTCTGGGTGTAAAATTGTGGGCATCCCTTGTGGGTGTGAGGGCTTCAATCACCAAGAGATCAACAGTGAGTCGCACATGACGCATCATTTAATGATGAAATAAATAAGTACTGTTCTTGCAATTATTTAATAATGAGTGTCATACAAGATCCTTACAGTGATACTGTACAAGGTTCAAATATTATCTAATTCTGGTTATAATGTTCATAGCACAAGGCAAACATCCACAACACACAGCTGCAGTTTGGTGCATCAACATCATGAAATGGGACCTAGTGTTCCTATCGAAAATGAACTTGTGGAAAATTATTCATTTTCAGGATTTCGTGACCAGATTTCTGACAATAGCCATGGTGAGGCCAGAGTAAGCAATGTGCATAATATGTTAGTTAGTATGGTACTTGAGGTGCCATCAGCAACTGACTAACATGAAGTGTTTTGCTGTGCTTGGATTATGAGATTACCACACCCACCAGAACTGCTTGGTTTATAATGGTGCACAAGAATGTAGGTAGGTATATAGTGTGTTTACACAGTGCAAAGTGTATACACGTGTCGAGAACTTTAACTTAATGTTTCTGCATGAACAGGATTTTCATTTTGAGAACACAAACTTCGGTTTCAGAGCAATTCTCATCATTTTTACATATTATGTGCAACGTTCTTAGTTCTAAAGTTTCATTAGTCGTTTAATCATAAACCCATAACTTTGGGAGTTATACATTTTTACTTCTAAATTCTGTGCATAATTTGAAGGTCACATTGACTATTTTTTTTATAAACTATACTCTCAAACAATATTTTAAAGCAATGAAAATTAAAGTTATATGCCAGTCTGAGCCTATAATTAATAAAATAAAAAATTATGAAATTTTAAATTGGTTTAGTTATTTTGAAATTTATTTTGAAATTAATTCCTGTTTATATCATATTGATCCATAAGGTTAGGTTGGAGCATTTACCATGTAGATTATACACAAAAAATTGAGTGAGGAAGGATGATAAATTGTGCACCCGGCCCCTTAAAGGACAGTGGGCATAATACAGATCTTATAATGGTGAAATTGAAAAATTAATTTCCAAATTAGGTGATATGACTAGGTGGCCAGTTGCTGGAAATTGGATTGCAGGTAACTTGGTGCATGCTATTCATGGTGTCTTTAAGGCCACTTACAGAGCATAGCAAGAATAAGAATTGCAACTACAGACAAGATTTTTGCATATTTTATAGATGTCTTCTCGTGCAGGATTTCCCATATGTTTTCACAGATGTTATATAAGTGTATTGTATTTGCAAATCCAATTTAAATTGAAACCACAAATATGATAAATATTATAAATGAATTTAGATGTTTAAAATGCATTTAATTAAATAATGTTTGAAAACTTTAAATATGATACTGGTGACTTGACATTATTGGAGGTAACCAAACTTTCAAGCCTGCTCTCCACATCCAGATCCTCTTCCAAGAATTTCACCTCCTCTTCCTTCTTCCCCCCTACTATCTTTTCCAAGCCCTTTGGACATCAAATCAAAAAAATTGAACCTCTCGCCTCCCAAAATACACCACAGTGTATTGCTCAAAACTTTTCTCATCGATTAATCATGCCATGATTTCGGTTTGCTTGTCAAAAATAAATGTTAATTAAAGTGTTAATAGCAAGGTAACCATCTTTGTGAAATTACTAATAGTGCACACATGTTTTGTTTTATGGGCCTCATATAGGCTGTTAGGCCTTCTGCAGTTTCCTTAACATTATATTCTGTAATATTTGGCATTTATATACTTAAAAGAATATATATTGTATAGTATATATGCAAATTTCCTGCAATACAGTACATAATAAATCTGTCATTGTTCCCTAAAAATTAACCATCTAATATGTTTAATACAGTATTGTTTAATATGTAAATGAAATTAAATGTTTAAATTGCACTTAATATAATGATTGAAAACTTTAAATATGAATTAGGCTGACTTTGCATGTTAGTGGTTTTGCCAAACTAAATTAATCAAACCTAGAATATAGTGACCTATATTTTTAAGACGCAATCTGGCATCCTGGTGATTCAATCCCCGGGAGGGACATTACCTCTCACCTTATGTTTCTGTTCACATGAGTAAATAGACAAAAGGAGTTAGGTAACTTATGGGTTCCATCCTTGAGGAAGGTCACTTATTCGATACCACGCCTGAGCATAGACTTCCTATCCCCAACAATTGGAATTATTACAATACTGTATAATCAAATAAATTGGGCAATAACTTGTAGAGCATAAATGTTTATCAATTTGTCCTATTTTCAATGAATTACTAGATGTATAAACTTGCCTAGGAAGGCTGATAAGGTTGCCCATGTGACCCTACACCATGTGGAGGCTGCCGGCGTGGTCACTCACCCAGTGCTAGCTAACCCCAATAGTGATCAACCTATCCTTCCAGATCACCTTCTAGGCAGTACTTGGTAGGACAGTACTGCTTAGTTAGGACAGTATAGGATGACGACTAAATAAGTCAAAATATTCCAATACGTTACCTGCACAACGCTGGAAATCTAATCTTTTAAAAATTACACAATTATTAATTATTATAATGAAATCTTGCCAAACTTGGCTTCAAATCCCAGGTAAACTGAATACTGGCGCCCATAACATCAAACAAAATCCCAATACTGCCCCACACGTGGCTGGAGATGGACCATGCGGCATCACCTGCCAATGGAGGATAAAATATCCGCCATCACACACCCCGCCTCAATAAAACCATCCCAAATAACACCTCCGGCAGCAATTAGAGCCCTGTGCCAGGTAAATCCACTACGGGCTCACCATAGCCCCATGCTGCTTGCAACTTTTCAGAGTAACTCAATCTTAAATAACAAGCATATCCCGCTCACTCACCTTCATAACGATATTGCACGATGATGCCCGACTGCCAGATGAGTGCGTGAGAGAGAACCTTCGCGGGTAACGATGTGTGAGAGATTGTACACAACTCACCAAAGGTTCACCATTCACAAACACGCGTGGACGCTCAGGGTGCTGCACGCTAGAGGAAGCTGGACCACCCGGACCCCCGACTCCTCCGCGCCTCCCCAGCAGCCTCTGGCAACCACTCTCGCACCCTCACTCCCCCATCCCATCGTCAGATGGCAGTAAAAGAAACTAGTTTTCTGAGTAATTTTTATTTTGGTTATGTGGTTTTGTGTGGGATAGGAAATCCGTGAGTTAATTTCTTAAGGTTCTATTAAGTCAATGTTGCTAATTGAGTTAACCATAAAGGTAAGACGACTACAGGAAACGAAAAGAGAAAGATTTGAGAGTGGATATAATTCTCAAACACCGGATTCACACAAACAGGGTGTCAAGAGCAGCATATGGGACACTGGTAAACATAGGAACATTGATTGGTAACTTAAATCGGGACGCCTTCAAGGCAATCCATAGAACAAAATTAGTTGATGGTTGCTTCCTTAACTACATATAACTACGTGCTTAAAAAAATGCAAAGAGGAGCTTTGCGAGCCATTGTCTACCATATTTAATAAATCATTAGTCAGACAGAATGCCAGAGTCGTGGAAGGTAGCTAATGTGGTTCCAATTTTCAAGAAAGGAGATAGATCACTTGTGTCAAACTATCGGCCAATTAGCTTAACGTCTATTGTGGGAAAGTTACTTGAATCGAGAATTGCAAATTGCTTGGTTCAACCTTGACGCTGAGCGGACGTCTGCTCCTCCGCCTGGGAGCCGTCGGATCACGTCCTGTTTTCGCGTTTTGACTTTGCTACTGCCGTTTGATATCCCTCTTCAACGGTCCGATTGTACGACGCCTGGCGCACATATCGCCTTGGGTCACGGGATTGTTGATAGATTTTTTGGGGGGCGTGTTCTGGCTGGTTGTCCCGGCGGGGTGACGGTGTTCGGGGGCCGGCTTGGCCGAGAGGTGCCGGGGGTTGGCGGGTCTTGGTGGGCTCCTGGTGTGCCCTCAGCCGTGGTGGGCGGCTGGCTTCCGCTCTGCCGGAGGACACTGGGTGACTTTTTGCGTTTTAGTTGGGGGCCGAGTTTTGGTTTTGCTACCTGGTGTTCTCGGTGTGGGGCGGGGCCGGTGTTTGTCACCCTAAGGGACTCCTGGGACTCCCCAATCATCTGCCTGACTGTGCGTTTATTTGCCGTATGGCACATTAGTTTCTAGTGATTGGCGTCACTCGTTTCGCGTTTTGGCTTGGCGTTTCACCTTTCCTGGCTTCGCGATTAACCCTTAACGGGTCCGCCGGGGCGCATCCCATCCCACGATCGTCGTCGCCCGTAAATCAACAACATAATTGCAAATTCCATTCGTCTTCATCTTGAAAAACATAAATTAATAAATGATTCACAACGTGGTTTTACAAATGGCCGTTCATGTTTAACAAATTTGCAATCATTTTATTCCAGCATAGTTGAGGCAGTTCATAGTGGTAAGGTTTATGATGGGTACAAATCCACAAGGGCCGTGACGAGGATTCGAACCTGCGTCCGGGAGCTTCCCAGACACTGCCTTAATCGACTGAGCTACGACAGGGTAAAAGAGTTGAAACCGAAGTTCTACTAAACTTACTGGATCCCATAGCCTCTCCGAGGCACAAACCTGGATTTTACACAACTCCCCCCCTGCACCCGAGCTATGTCAATAGGCCGTTCTCCCTCTTCGCCCTTACTTCATTACACACAGAGATCACACTAACGTGATGCATCAAATGAACAAATCCACAAGGGCCGTGACGAGGATTCGAACTTGCGTCCGGGAGCATAACAGACACTGCCTTAATCGACTGAGCTAGGGTGCAGGGGGAATTTGATTGATTGTTGCCGCCGAAGGCGGCTAGTTTATTGTGCACCCCATACTCATCCTGTGAGCGGTAGCGCAAAAGCATTACAGAGGGCACAAAAGGTCTTTATCAGACCTCATCTTAGATTATTACATAAACAATTTCATCTATCCTTCACACCTTATAGCTACAATGTCAGCTAGTTACAGAGAAAGTGCTATTACAAGACCTACATGTTTACAGTAAGTCATCATACATTAATGGTAGGTCTTATCGCTAATACATAATAGTTTGACCAATGGGGATATTACAGAGTCATAGGGGAGCTTCTGTTTAATATTAGTCCTCACAATACACTACTTGTTTCTGAATCTCATATGTCGTTCATCTACTGGAAGCGAAATGTGGGTACAGTGCAAGGATTTCAGGTAAATTATCCATGGTAATAAGATAGGTTGCCATATCATACAGAGTGAGCTTAGATTTATCTCTAAAAGGCTCAATTTTACTACAATCCAAGATATAGTGTTCGAGTGTGTGTCCCTGTCTTTGTCCACACACTTTACACTTTACTTCATCTAGATCCCTATACAAGACGAACTGCCAGAGATACTTGTAGCCAAGTCTTATACGAGCTGTGACAACATCTGTTAGTCTACTGACTTTGTTACTTGCCCCATACACATGTTTTACTTCACACATTTCATTGTGATGAACAATGGACCTGCTAGTTCCAGTTTGCACAGTTCTACTTTCTTCAAATTCATCCAGGAGTTCTCGTCTAATGACACTTTTAAGGGACCTATTTGATAACTCAAGATTCATTTCAATACTGTCTTTATTTACTGCAGCCTTAGCAAGGGCGTCAACTTTGTCATGTTCCTGCATGCCGATGTGAGAAGGAATCCACAATATTTTTATATTTACCTTCTTGCTAAGTATTCTTATATATCTACGTCTAGCTTCCAAGACAAGCACGTTATTACTTGATTGCAAACTGTTTATTGCTCGTAGTGAGGAAAGGGAGTCAGAAATAATTAAGCTGTCTACTTCAGTGTTGTCAATAATTTCGAGTAGGGGGGGAATTGTGTAAAATCCTGGGTTTATGCCTCGGAGAGGCTACGGGATCCAGTAAGTTCAGTAGAACTTCGGTTTCAACTCTTTTACCCTGTCGTAGCTCAGTCGAGTAAGGCAGTGTCTGGGATGCTCCCGGACGCAGGTTCGAATCCTCGTCACGGCCCTTGTGGATTTGTTCATTTGATGCATCACGTTAGTGTGATCTCTGTATGTAATTTATGTGTACCTTGACATAAGCAAAGCTTTTGATAAAGTGCCACATGAAACACTGATTTAAAAGAGAGGCTCACGGTATGGAGGGATGATATATTAAGTTGGATTAGGGCATTATTCCTTTTTTGTAGTGAGAGTTGTCTGCTGAAGCATTTCTGCTACTTTTTCCTTCTTTTGTATTCTCTGCGTTGTTTCGAAGATGGTCCTCTCTGGATTTCCACAAAGAAAAATGTTTAAACCAGACTTTATAGGCTTCGAAAGTCAGTTGTCCTCTTCCTTGTGTGGGATTTTTATTATGTTTTATTTATATTCTTATGTACCCTTAGCTGGGCACTTAATATTATTAACTGTTATATTTACTAACAATATGGAAATCGTGTCTTTCAAATTTTATGTATCTTATGATTTTGTCAATATATGTATTCTATTTCAAGCTCTTATTAAATTGAGGTCTCTTCAAATAAATTTCAATGTTCATATGATATGAACAAATCCACAAGGGCTGTGATGAGGGTTCGAACCTACGTCCAAAGAGGAGAGGAGAGAGGATTCTTATGACATGATACTGAATCAATGTGAACAAGACAATGCAAACAACAGTTGTTACATAATGACATTAATACATATATTAAAATAAAACAGGAGACAATTCATAGTAATCTACCTTTTCTAGTAATATACAGCTTAGAATAAAGAATGTAAAGCTTTTTTTTGTATATAATGCACAATTATAATAGGAACTATTACTATAGTATTTTTGTCCTTGTATAATTTGGAATTTACTTTAATTTTTTAAAATTTATGAAGGTACAACCATTTATAAATAGTTTAGAATCTACCATTTAAAGCTAATTTATTTAAATAAATTATAAGATTAAATACTTTTAATACAAATGTTGATTTAAATATTATTTTAAATTTTATAGGCTAACCAAACCATTAACACTGTTGCATAAATTTATTATCAAAGTTGCAAAAAGGAATATTAATAATTGAACCTTGCTTACATTTATTTCCTCTGGCCTTTTCTTAACACATTAAAACCTTTAAAATTTAAATAATCCTACATAAATACTTCCACCTGGTTGTGTTAAGAATTGAGCTTAAATCATATCAATTCTCAACAGGAGTGCAGCCATTGTAACCTACCAGAAACTATACTTTATTCCTGAACATAACCCAGTACTAATGTAAACTAAGTATATATGTAGCCAATAAATTGTGTACACATTTCAAACATGCCACCACTCGACCCTCAATTCCACCCTACCAGCCAACAATATTTCAACCACGATATACACAAGGCCTTCACAGGAGCTTATTGGCCAATTAGAGAGTATACTTTATTCCTAAACATAAAGGTCTAAAATAAACTACCGGTATGTATATACAGGGTTCACAGTGTACAAAGATACACACTCTTTGGTGAAGATGTAACTTATTTTGTTAATAAACATTAACAAATACAAAACTTATATGACTGATTGGTTCTTCAGTTTGAGCCAGCAATATGATTGGCTAAATGGCATGATGGATATGTTACCTTCACTCTGACTAGTTAAATGAAACGTAGTATTGACCTGTCCCGCTGTAGGTGTATCAAACCAAAATCCCTATTAATAATTATTTAAGTCACCGAAACAGCTTCCTGAACCTTACAGATGGGAAGGGATGGGAGTCTTCTTGTACACAATGAGTCCTAGTAAGGTGGCCGAAGGTATAACCAAACCACACATCAGAAAATAGAGAAACGGTGACATTTTGGTCCATATTGGATAAGTATAGGCATGTGCTACTTACTGTTACTATGAACCTTCATGGAACAGCCATTTAGGAAAGATACATTGCTCAATCTAGGTCCTTTTAAATTAGACCATAGGCTCTTGTCTAGCAAAAAACGAAATAGATACATCTGCACTGGCATTCTCTCGTCTGGTCAAGATTCTTTATATTCAAATGTGGACAGGACAGAATTCCTGTAACTGTACTATGTGGAATGGGAAAGCCTATCCTTTTTGTTACTAATAAATAATCACAGCTAGAGGGTACATTTGGCAGTTTAATTTAATGAAATCTGCATTAATAGTTATGGTAATTATTTTAGTGTAATTTTTGTCAGTTTACAAACCGAGATCACAAGCAGCACTTCAACAGGTTTCTTCTAAAAATACGAAGTGTTAGCACCAACATCTAGTAATTAGGAAACCAAGGTGAGATGGTTTAATTGTTTCCAGTAAAAACAAGTGCAATAATTTAAAACATTGAATCTAACCAATCTCGATTTAGTTTTCATTGCCGTACATTGGGTGGTACAAATTTGTCCATTCTTAAAGGCTTCCACCGAATCATTACTGCCAAAATGGGGCACAATTTTGGGTAAAGTTGTTTGCAATATTTTCAGTCAGGAACAATTTAAATTTAGTTAAAACAAAACTACATTTACAAGTAAATTAAGTTGAATAATCTATGGTAAGAGAAACAACATTTGGGGCACATATCTATGTATTATACATATTTTATACATATTTATGTATTATAATGTATATATAAACAATATCCTAACAATATTTGAAACTGTTATTGTACAAACCATACCCCCAGTTAACAGGTGCTCCTGGATAAGGGAGCTCTTACTGAACCGGCACTTTCAGGCATTATATCAATTCTTATAGAAATACTTTTTCAACATTATAACATTACCTATGACATGTTAAAGGGGCATGGGTTAATTGGAAAAATTATGAAACATTCAATAAATACCTACAGTATTACACAACTTTCTATAAATACCTACAGTATTCTCACATTCTTTGCATATGAAAAATGCACGTTCACACATTAATTAATGAACTGGAGAAAGATGGTTGGTATAAATTTATGTGAACTCTCCACCTCCCTCATTCATAATAAGTGGGAGGTGTACATGTGGGATATTAACTGGGTGACCAATTGAGTGTGTTGTAGCCATTTGAAATTTTTTTATAACAATTTCATATTTTACTATAAATATAGATAAAACAACTCAGAGAATGTGTTATATAAAAAAAATATGCATTTCTAGGCAAAGCTAATCGAGGCATGTCTACACAGTTTAATTGTCTTCCTCATCGTCGTCGTCGTCATCGTCATCATCATCATCATCATCATCGTCGTCGTCGTCATCATCATCTTCAGGGTTTCCTTCATTTAATACTAGTTGTCCATCAGAATCATCATCATCGTCGTCATCATCATCTTCATTGTCGTCATCATCATTTTCATCGTCGTCGTCATCATCATTATCATTGCTTTTATCATGTAACACCTGAAACAAAATTACACATAGTAGGACAATTACACAATATAGGGCAACTGGTTCATTGTTATATATTAGGAGTGAGCAGTACCTACATGGTAAACACTTCAATAAATCAGGATCATTTATAACACTTCTATCTTTAATGAGTAAAATAAAGAATTACGTTAAACCCTTTATCTGGATATCTCTAATCTAATAAGATAACAACAACCCCACCAACTATCATTATGTGGTACACTCGACCTTCCCAAATTTTCTTCCCACTGTAGAAGAATTTCAACATTATTTCAAATAACAGTTGTTTGTGATATTAGAGACCAAACAAATTAATCTAAATGTAGGGTATATAATAAATGATTAGTTAAGAATTTCAATGAAGTACAAAAAGTTACACAAATTGGTAGAAAAAAAAAGAGAAACTGGTTGGTTGGATTAAGAGATGGCACGAGCAGTTGATGCCAAAAAAAGTAGTTTCCAAATTGAGTGAAAAAGCAAGAAGGAATTTCTGTAAATAAATTGGTATAGCCTAAATGAAGAGAATATGTTACAGAAACAAATATAATGGGAGAAAATTGCTGGAACAAGTGTGGATAATATGCCAGAAAGCATGGGATAGTGGACCTGATATATACTGTACCAGAACACTGAAAAAAAAACAGCTGTAATGGTACCACTGTACAAAATATAAATAGCTAGAAAATGTAAAGCAGTATAGTGATGAGAAACATGACAAGAAATTACTGATAAACTAATTGGAGCATTAAAACAGCTTATAGAACAAATACATTACAAAAGTTAATTAAGGAAAATTTTCGTTAGTTAATTGTATAATGTATAATTGAGTTAATTGTATAATGAATGACAGATCTGGTAAGAATGTAGAAAAGTAGATATATGCCAGATATCTACATATCTCGCATATGCATATTATATATTATATATATATATATATATATATATATATATATATATATATATATATAAAACTGAAAACTCACATATATATTTCACATATATATAGGTGTATCATATGTAGAATCGTAGATATATTTGTTCATATATGCCAGAGCTGTGTGATGTTGCCCAGTATATAAAAGGACATTGATAATGGAGGTCATGATAAGGACAGGAGTGCATTTGTTTAATATAAGTAATGGAAGCATGTCAAAGTTTATATATGCACAGCAATCTTTATAAGTGTTATGTGGACTTTTCTGAAAACTGCATTAAGGTGTGCAAAAGAGAGGACTGTTGAAAGTGAATGGGCATAAAAATAGTTATGGCGGCAAAGAGAACGAAATTGTTAAATAAAATTGAATTGTGAAATGATGGAAATGAAACAGTTTTTTCCAGGTGCGAGGAGGAAATGTAAGGGTTGTTGACAACAAATGCAATGATGGAATTTGTAGAACAATGATATAAACCAGTTAATCCCCTTCATGAGAGAAATCAATAAGAAACAAAAGATCACTTTTTGGTTCAACTGCTGGGAGGGAAGGGGGGAGGTGAGGGTGTCCCAAGTGTAAATGGGAATGGGAATTTCTTGGTTATGTGTTTGGAGAGGGGGTTTGTTTCTTGTAAAAACTTTTTGAAACACAGGTCTATATACAGGTATACATGGTGAGTATGTATGAGAATGAGTTGGATTGTCATGTTCTGTACAAAACTAGGGGTAAATAGGTGGGTGCTCAAATCACTATAGCAAAAGTAGGGCTCACTCTCTAACCTTTCACTCCATGACTTTTTTGGGTCAATATGAAACTAAAATACAAACTATGTTGAGTTTGTTTTTATTTTTAAGTTTTCCTTTTCCTAATAAAAAATTGTCATGTAACTATAATATGTTATAAATATTCCCAGTGCATTCATAAAAAGTAAAAGAAATGAAGACAAAAGCCATCTTGTTGGGGCTATATCCTACTCGTTATATTAGGCTCTCTGCTAAACTGAGAGGTATGAAAATGTCAGTAAAAATGTCTAGCTTATTTGGGAGGGCAATAGGTCAATGACTATAAATACAACTCCAGACACTGATCTCAAATTCACTCTCTTAGAACTGTCAGAATAGTAAATCAGAGGACGTTAAATAGAGTGAATATGCTGATCACATAACCCCTGGTTTTGTGACAAACATCTTCTAATGCAATACAGTATTTGCATCATCATTTAAGGTTTTTATACAATCACTAGATGGAGAACTGAACAGTGCCAGGTACCCCATACGAGGCACTCCTACTAAGTGCGGCAATAGAGTTGACCCCAAGCAACCTATGACATTGGCCATACAATCACAATCCACCATGGAAAGTGGCAAGGGTAACTAACCATCTAGCCTCCAACCTCAAACAGACACAGACAGACATTCTTTCAGTTATAGATGAAACTCACCTCTTTGAAATACTGTACCGATGTGCTAAATATTTTAAACAATTTAGAGTCCAAGTTTTAATTCTACTGTTATTAAAAACTTTCTACGTTAAAAATGATAAAGTACATACTTGAATTTTCTGCTTTTTGCTAGGAGAACTACTCTCTGAATCATCATTTGCAGGCCTCTTGTGTTTCCTGGAAAAGAAGAGTTGAAAATTTTTAACTGAAGAAATAATGTTGAGAAAATAATATCAATGATTATTTAATATTAATTTTAATAATTTACCCCAGTTAAATTATGTTAATGTGTCAATTAAGTCAACCCATTTGCCCTACATGATCATGGTAGAAATTGACTTATATAAAATTTATATTATTGGATTGAAGAAAAAATGAGAGTTCAACATTCAAATATTTTATAGCTAGTCTTACTATGCCATCAACATTAAACAACAAGTAATAATTAAAGGAAGTACTAGTGGTAGTAAAATAAATAATAATAACTAATAAAAAAATAAAGGGAAATCATTTGAAGCATTGCATGGGTTTGAACCATTGTTCTGGTGACTACCAGATGCTTGCACCACTCTGCTTCCAAAGGACAAAACCTATTCACCCAAAACTCCACTGGAGAATGTCTGAAAGTCTCGCCAAAAATAAAAAGATACTATAAAAAATATACATACCAGATTGTTTGCGTGTAGGTATTTTTAACTATTGGCTTTTGTACAAAGTTTGCTTCTGCTAGCTTCTGTTTTACTTCTTCAGCCTGTGCCTCAGTGTTAAAATGAATATTTACCATCCTGTAAAAATTATTCTCAATAAATACAGTTACCAAAGAATATAATTTATATACAAAACTAGAAACTTATTTTATAAAGTAAAATTTATATTTACAAAATAAACAAAATTTATAAAGTAACTACTTTATGGATTCCATTATTTTAGCAAACCTGACATTATCAATGGCAAATGTTTTGTGGAGAGTGATCAAAGCTGGAAGTCTTGTCATAGTTTCCCGGCTATTTGCAATAAACGTTCACAAAATGTAATTACAGTAACTTTTATGGAATTACATGCACAACAGTGGATGTATATGTAATAATGCATATCATGCTCTTAAAAGTTATAAAATTATATACAGTCTGGTAGTTATAAATAAGCTAAGTTATTTATCAAGCTTAAAATAATTTGAGCATAATCATAACAAAAATCTTTAAATTTAAAATGTTAAAAAAATTTGAAAGTTATATTTATCTGGAAATCTAAATGGTGACAAAACTACTTTCCAATTACTATTAATACTGTACTCTGATTATGTAACAATAACAGTATTAATGAAATTTATACCATTTGAATTAGTTTACTAATTACACATTATTATTGAAAAAATGTGATGTTACTTGTATATTATTAATATTGAACACCATATCTGCATTTAATCTATAATAATATAATCTATATTAAAGCTACAATGTATACACTAGTTGCATTTAACATTCTATATGAGAACTTTCAAATTAGCATATATTGTATATGAGTGTCTGGATATAACTGACTAAATATCCCCATTTGTATTTGACCCCATCCCTGGACCATACATGGGTTAAGTCTTCTATACTGTAATGAGGATAGGAAGATATTCCAGGCAATGAAATAATCAAATTAATAAAATTAATTAGTGCTGTATAGTGCTAAACTGGTGAAATTCAATAGCACTCATTTGGTTCAAACATAAGCATCTAGATTTCAAGTTAATGCTGTTGTGTGTTTCAGACAATGAAAAGAAATCAGATGTAACAATTTGAAGAAAAAATAATTAAAAATCAATTCAAGTGACAAAACATAAAATTACAGGATTCATTAAAATTCTAACAGTACTAATAACATACCTTCCAAACTTGAAATCAGTGGCATCACTTGCAATCTCTAAAACCTTTTTGATATCATCATGGTCCACAAAATCAGGGAATGCTAAATAGAGTCCACATGGATCAAACTCCTTTTGCTGTGTAGGCTGTAATACAAATTACAAAGCTATTAGTATTTTACTGGTCTGCAGAGAATAAGTCTAATGGAAATTGTAAAACAAAAGTACATTAGTGTCAGTAGAAATAAAAAAAAGAGCATCTATACATCTTGCAACATGATACTGTAACACAATATCAGTATTACTCATTCATTTATTGTTACAATATTGTACATCATTCACCAAAATATTTACATTTCTTGCCATACCAAACTGTTTTGCCTATGTATTTTACGTACATCAACTCATTTCTTACCTTGTCAACATGTCCTCCTCTTCCTCCACGTCCTCTCATGCTTCCACGGTCTCCTCCTCTGAAACTTCCACGTTCCCCTCCTCTGAAACCTCCACGTTCTCCTCCTCTGAAACCTCCACGTCCTCCTCTGAAACCTCCACGGTCTCCTCCTCTGAAGCCACCACGGTTGCCTCCTCTGAAGCCTCCACGGTTGCCTCCCCTGCCACCCCCTCTGCCCTCTTTTGCTCCACCTTTTGGATCATTTGAGGTCTCATTTCCAAATTTATTGCTACCAGACTTCTCCACTTGTGGGCTAATATCCATTTTCTGCTGTTTTTGTTTCTTATTCTTCTTCCCTGTTTTTTGCATCTGGTTTTCATCCACCTGTTTGTTTCCCTTGGGTACTTGAGGGCTATCTATTTTAAATGCCTTTGGTGTCTCATTATCTGCTACTTTTGGAGTCTTTTTCCCCATTTTCTTGGCTGATTTCGGAGTTTTGACTTCTATGTTTTCCTTAACAGCTTTTGGTGATTTATCTACGTTTTTCTCTGCCTTTTGTGAAGGTGCCTGAAATATATTTAAAATAGGCAATGGTTGATTAGATGCCAAAATTAACTATAGTACAGTTGTCAATGTTAACCCCTCAACATATGTATAAACATACACCAAAGCTTATTAAACTTGAAAGGAATGTACAATGTGCATGATAAATGTATTAGAAAATAAATTATTGATATTATAGGTAGAACTATCTGTGTAGTAGGATATGGTCGCCTGAACCCAGCTGGTTGCCATTCCAACCCTCCAGCATAACATTGAAAAATGAAAGGGTTCAACTTCTACATGGAGTGAGAATTTGTCTAGTTTCCTTTTCTGATAACTGTTAACCTATCTATAAATAGGTAAATTGGAAATTAGGCCTGTTGAGTTTTATCCTGTGAAATGACTACTCATTGGCTAGGGAGAAACTGACAAGCCTAACAGGGTTTTTTTGAAACGTGCATTATGGTTACTAAGCCGTGTGGCAAAACAGTTGCCACAGAAACCAAAGCCCCAGTTGCTAGTCACCAAAAAAACCAGTGTTGACTAATGAAACAACATTTTCTGGGTGCCACCCAGCGACTCCCTGAAGCTATCCAAACTGACCTGTACCATACGAGTTGTGTGTGCCTACCAGAGACCAGTGCCAGAACCTGGTCCACTCAATAGGCGCAGAGCAATGACCAATTGAGAACACTTCATTTAATAATGTCAGGCCAAAGTGCTCACAAAACACCAGGTGACGGTGTTACCACTTCCCCATGGGGGACTGCAAATTATTAAATTTATTAAATAAATTATTTAATTATTAAAATGTAACTTATAATATACAAGTTATTTTACTAAATAAAACAAACCAATGAAATTTGCGAGATGAAAGTAAGGAAAATTTATCATCGCTCAGTAAATGATTGACTACACATGTAATCGCGTGCAGTAAATCTCATTTTAATTATTGCATTTGCAGGGTGTTGAGGCATTTATACTGTTAATGTATTTTAATAATATGTATTGTTCACCTACTGTAAACCTGGTCAATAACTGGCCTCCCCCTGATTTGCTCTAAATTTTTCTCATCGGTTATTCATGCCGTGATTTCAGTTTCCTTGTAAAAAATAATGGGTTGTTAGCAAAGTCACTATCTTTGTGCAATTACTAACAGCACATACGTTTTGTTTTATGGTCGTTAGGCTTAGGTCTGATACAGGCTGTTAGGCCTTCTGCAGTTTCCTTTTATGTTTGGTAACCTTTGGCATTTATATACTTCAAGAATATATTGTATATATGCAAATTTCCTACAATACAGTACTTAATAAATTTGTCTGTGTTTCCTAAAAATTAACCATATGTTTGATACAGTATTGTTAATATGTAAATGAATTTAAATGTTTAAATTGCATTTAATTTAATGTTTGAAAACTTTAAATATAAATTAGGTTGATTTTGCACATTACTGGCTTTATCAGACTAAATTAATCAAACCTAGAAGAGTGACCAACATTCTTAAGTCGCAATCTGGCATCCTGGTGGTTCAATCCCCGGGAGGAACATTACCTCTCACCTTATGTTTCTGTTCACATGAGTAAATAGGTAAAAGGAGTTAGGTAACTTATGGGTTCCATCCTCGAGGAAGGTCACTTGTTTGACTTTGTGGGACCTCATACCACGACTGAGCAGACTTCCTATCCCCGGAATTATTATCTAGTACTGTACTGTATAATCAAATAAATTAAATGTATATACTGTATAATCAAATATATATTATATATTAAATAAACAAATCCACAAGGGCCATGACAAGGATTCGAACCCGCATTCGGGAGCATCCCAGACACTGCCTTAATCAACTGAGCTGCGACAGGGTTAAAAGGGTTGAAACCGAACTTCTACTGAACTTCCTGGATCCCGTAGCCTCCCTGAGGCACAAACCAGGCTTTTACACAACCCCCCCCCTGCACCCAAGCTATGTCAATAGGCCGTTCTCCCTCTTCGCCCTTACATCATCACACAGATCACACTAACGTGATGCATCAAATGAACAAAATTTGTTCATTTGATGCATCACGTTAGTGTGATCTCTGTATATATTATATATATATATATATATCTATACAGTATAAATGTAATGTATAATCAAATAAATTGGGCAATAACTTGTAGAGCATAAATGTTTATCAATTTGTCCTATTTTCAATGAATTACTAGATATATAAACTTGCATAGGAAGGCTGATAAGGTTGCCCATGTGACCCTACACCATGTGGAGGCTGCCGGCGTGGTCACTCACCCAGTGCTAGCTAACCCCAATAGTGATCAACCTATCCTTCCAGATCACCTTCTAGGCAGTACTTGGTAGGACAGTACTGCTTAGTTAGGACAGTATAGGATGACGACTAAATAAGTCAAAATATTCCCATACGTTACCTGCACAACGCTGGAAATCTAATCTTTTAAAAATTACACAATTATTAATTATTATAATGAAATCTTGCCAAACTTGGCTTCAAATCCCAGGTAAACTGAATATTGGCGCCCATAACATCAAACAAAATCCCAATACTGCCCCACACGTGGCTGGAGATGGACCATGCGGCATCACCTGCCAATGGAGGATAAAATATCCGCCATCACACACCCCGCCTCAATAAAACCACCCCAAATAACACCTCCGGCAGCAATTAGAGCCCTGTGCCAGGTAAATCCACTACGGGCTCACCATAGCCCCATGCTGCTTGCAACTTTTCAGAGTAACTCAATCTTAAATAACAAGCATATCCCGCTCACTCACCTTCATAACGATATTGCACGATGATGCCCGACTGCCAGATGAGTGCGTGAGAGAGAACCTTCGCGGGTAACGATGTGTGAGAGATTGTACACAACTCACCAAAGGTTCACCATTCACAAACACGCGTGGACGCTCAGGGTGCTGCACGCTAGAGGAAGCTGGACCACCCGGACCCCCGACTCCTCCGCGCCTCCCCAGCAGCCTCTGGCAACCACTCTCGCACCCTCACTCCCCCATCCCATCGTCAGATGGCAGTAAAAGAAACTAGTACAGTATTTTTAATAAATATTTTATCTCTGAATTTACTTAAGAGTAACTTAACATTATGCCTTCAGCCAAACAAGTCTATGTGGGTGGGGAAGAGGATAGGTTGACTAGTTTACTAGTTACCAGGGAGGCTGTTATTAATAAACAAATTGTGAAACTAAACATATTTAACAATTCGAATCCTCGTCACGGCCCATGTGGATTTGTTCATTAGTGAAACTAAAGCCAAACAAATCCCCAGGACCAGACGAAGTGTTTGCCAGGGTGCTTAAAGAATGCAAAAAGGAGCTATGTGACCCATTGTGTACCATATTTAACAATTAATTAGAGTCAGGCAGAGTGCCAGAGTCGTAGAAGGTTGCTAATGTGGTACCAATGTTTAAGAAAGGAGATAGATCAATTGCATCAAACTATCGGCCAATTAGCCTAACGTCTATTGTGGGAAAGTTACTTGAATCGATAATTGCAAATACCAATCGTCTTCATCTTGAAAACCTAAATTAATAAATGATTCACAACATGGTTTTACATATGGCCGTTCATGTTTAATAAATAAATCGAAATAAGGCAAATAGGACACTGGGATTTATTAATCGAAGCGTTAGTAACAGTGTAGTGTACCTTACCTTAAGGTTACCTTGAGGTGCTTCCGGGGCTTAGCGTCCTCGCGGCCCGGTCGTCGACCGGGCCTAATGGGCCTTGAGAGGATGTTTTTAAATAAACTTTTATATATATGATATGTGATCAGCTGTCTAGTAATTTGCTAGGGTTCCTCAGAGGCAAAATTACCTCTGACTGTATTAATAAATCTCTATCTAATGATAATGATTACTATATAATTTTTATTGATTTACAAGGAGCCTTTGATTAAGCTAACAAAGAGGTTATCTATATGAACTAGCTGGTCTTGGTGTTAAAGGGAGATTATTGCGCTGAAGGGGATTATCTTCACGAAAGAAAGGTTGAGGTGTGGTATTATGGTTGTTGTATGTCAGGTGTGAGATCTTTTGATCTCGGCACACCTCAGGGAGGAGTGTTGGTCACACCTCAGGAAGGAGTCCCACCCTGTCTAATTTACTAATGTATAGGAGAGCATCTGAGAGATACTCAAATGGGGTAACTCTGATCATATATCTCGATGATATTTTGTTTCAGGGCAAATATATTTCAAAGGTTCAAACGGTGTTGGATGATTTCGGAAACCTGTGTCACCATCTGGGACTGGTGGTTAATGAAGCCAAAACTAAGATTGAATGTAGAAGTCGCAGGCCTATTATACTGAAAATAAACGGTAAAAATAGAGTTAATATATATAAATATTTAGACACATATGTTGGATATACCCATGAGAGTTTGGAAGCTGAGATGAACAGACTGTTGGGTCAATGTCGGAAGAGATTACAACCTCTGAAGTCTTTGGCATGCTGTGGAAAGTGAGTGGGAGTCCCTGTGCTACGAATGATATACTTGAGTACTGTAAGATCTCTTATAGATTATGTTACACCTGTCAATTCTTGTTTTGGTAAAGGTAGGGTGGGCAAGTTGGAGAAGGTACAAAATGAAGCCATGAGAATAATCTTAGGATGCCCAAGAAATACTATGATTGGTATAATGGGGATGGAATTGAACAAATCCACAAGTGCCGTGACGAGGATTCGAACCTGCGTCCGGGAGCATCCCAGACACTGCCTTAATCGATGGAATTGTGATGGAATTGAATCTGAAGAGTATTGGCGATAGAATTTCAAGAGATACATGCAACTTCTGTCGTTAGATTAATGAGAGTTGGGGGCGCTAATGAATTAATCCTCTCAGTTCAAAAGGTGCCCGAAAAGCTGCGCGTACTAGTGGCTTTACAAGAATGTAATTACTATGCTATGTATTCTCACAATCCCAATGTACCTTCTTGTATATATAAATAAATAAATAAATAAATAAATAAATAAATAAGGTGGGAAGTAATGAACAATGTATGTTAAAGTATAAGAGAGCATATATGAATACCTTACGTTCTAATGTTATAAAGTATGATGATATTCCAGAATGTATTGCTTTGTCTAAGAGACAATTCACACCACCGTGGGAGAATTGTAACGTAGATGTAGTAATTATTTCCCTGCAAAAGCAAAGCAAAGTATGTATGGGATAGGAGAGATAAGAGCAACATATGATTGTATAATTATAAAATTATTTACACAAAACACTCTATATGTATATTGTGATGGGTCAGTAGCTAGGAATGGAAAGGCAGGATGTGGATCGAGGATTAGGGAGTACACTGACATCGGCACTGTAGATACTGTTATTGGACGCCTCTTAACTAACAATGTCTCTTCAAGTTCAAGTTCAAGTAAGTTTATCGAGAAAAGGAAGTACATCTCAAAAGGATAGAGTAGCTTAGGCTGGTTCTACCCTCCTCTATATAAGATGGCTCCTCTATACTCACTGGGCTCACAAACCTATACAGTACACGGGTATTAATTATATTCTATATTTCACATTCCAATGGTAATCACATGACATACTGTGAGATCTCTTTTTGATCTCTTATTGGCGAAGAGTTAGGGGTGACATGATAGAGGTTTACAAGTGGGTGAATAGACATAACAAAGGGGATATTAATAGGGTATTAAAAGTATCAACACAAGACAGAACACGAAACAATGGGTATAAATTGGATAAGTTTAGATTTAGGAAAGACTTGGGTCTTGGTTTTTCAAGATGAAGACGAATTTTATTTGCTATTATAGATTCGAGTAACTTTCCCGCAATAGACGTTAGGCTAATTGGTCGATAGTTAGACGCAAGTGATCTATCTCCTTTCTTAAAAACTGGTATCACATTAGCAACTTTCCAAAACTCTGGCACTCTGCCTGACTCTATTGATTTATTAAATATGGTTGACAGTGGGTCACAAAGCTCCTCTTAGCATTCTTTAAGCACCCTGGCAAACACTTCATCCGGCCCTGGGGATTTGTTTGGTAGATAGTAGTAGATAGTAGACAGTAGAGAAGCGTTGTAGTCTTTAAATAGCAGACAACTAGAGAATGTTGTGATCGAGTGTAGAGAGAAAGTTAAGACATTAGAAAAAATGGGTACAAATTAAGATTCATGTGGATCCCTTCACATGTGGGATTCGGGAATACTGTTGAATGAGGTAGTTGATGAGAAAGTGAAGAGAGCCCCGGAAAAAACATCTCGATGATAATGTCAGACAACTTTGAAACAAAGACAAGAATCAAGATGATCCAAGAGGATGAAGAAAAAGTTAAGAGAATAGCAATAGTGGACAGCAGTAACAATCAAGAATTATGCAATAATAAATGCAAATTCGTCCTTTACTTATGGTAGAAGAAAATCTACTTGGAAGGATTCAATTTACATGCGATTAAAAGTAGGATAAGGTGAAGATCAGTGAAAAAAATAAGGCGTATATAAGGCGTATAAATTATGTAGTATGCCGCATACCCACACCTTAGATCACTATGTATTAGAGTGTCAACTTATTGATAACTATAGAAATAAGGAAATAAGTAGTGTACCACATCAAATTGTTTGGATGTGTGATAATGGTATGATAGACAGAATACTTAGGAGTTACAGGCGCTTTGCTCCAAGAGTGTAACACTTATATTAAGTGCTCGAACTTATAACACTTATATTAAGTGCCCGAACTTATAACACTTATATTAAGTGCTTTGCCCAAAACGCTATGCGTACTAGTGGCTTTAGGTATTTTATGTACTAGCTCTATCTTTAAATCCAACATTATGTTTATAACTAATCCTTTATGTATGTATTTTTACCTGAATAAACATTTGATTTGATTTGATATATGCTGTGTTTATTATATTTAGCGACAGTGTTAAATGTGATTCTTGTACTGTGATTTGTGAATTTGTGCGCCCCTTGAGGGACTTGAAGTAGAGGGAGGGTAGAAATAGCCTCAGCTACTCTATCCCAGCTACATCTATCAAGATGTATTTTATTGTCTTAATAAACGAACTTGAACTTGAGGTGACATGGTCAGGTCAAGAAGGACAAGAGGATTGGGTCCAGGGTAGCAGCAGTAAGCCTGGCTAATGCTAATTTAGCCGTTGAGATGTAAGTCTCATCTTAACCTCAAAAACATACTTTTTTTTTTAGTGTGCGAAAGAATTGGTTTAAATCTTTGCATGAAATTCGCAATTATATAAGTGTGGATTTTTTTCCTATGTTATTATGTCTGTAAGAAGACATCACCATTACTTAATAATAATAATAAGAATATTATTTAGAGGAAACTAGTCTACCTTGCGCGAAAAGCTGTGCGTATTAGTGGCTTTACGCATAGTATGTACAAGCTCTATCTATAAATACATTATGTTTGTAACTCATTTTGAATGCATGTACTTTAACCTCAATAAACATTACCTTATTATTTTATGAATAAACATTATTTATACTAGGATACAAGAGCAGTGAAGGATTCCTAGGTAAGACAAATACAGTGCCTACTAATACAAGCATTTTGGTCATGTAAATATTACCTGCGAAAGAAACACATATTCAATCTACTAAACACGGTGTATATTTTCTATTCATGTTAAGTACAATGAAGAATTTTGGTTTTTATTATATTTTGTTTTGATGTCTATCAAATAATACTTGAACGCATGCACAGGCCTTAGAGGGTGCGGACTTAATAATAAATTATATAGATAATGTTTGTGTATGTATGTTATTAAAACATGCGCACATACGTTAACAACATCCTCATAATAAATGAAGGACCTTAGAATTTCTCCTATGCTTTAAAAACATAAATGGCGCACTAAAATACTATTTTAGGTTCTTCACCTCTCCGTAGCGTCCCTACTCGTGAGATTTTCCTGAACAACACCTGGAGTAATGGAGACGCCTTCATGACATCACGAGTATTTGCTTCAGTGTATTTATTGTAAGTACACTTTCTGTATCGATTTACACCGACAGTTTAGGGTCTAATGTCTAAATTGAATTTGTAGTTAATGGTTTTTATCACTGTATTAATCTGTCACATTGGTTATATTACTCCTGTATGAAACGCACGTTAGTGACGTCAGAGCGTATGAGTGACGTCAGGGCGTATTAGTGACGTCAGAGCAGGGGTGCTCGTCACGGATATCCAGCCCAAGCCAGGGAACACGGCCGCCACCTCCCGCCTCACTCTTCGCGCAGACTCCACGTGCGGTGTGGACGCACCCTCCACTCAATTCCTGTATTTTACTTCTAAATTGAGCTATCGCGGATCAACGCGAACATGAAGGTAAGCTTCCGAGACTGCCAAGGAGTGCGGAGCTGTCAGCTACTCTGACAATAGCCGAGAAGTTGTGTTTTGAGGGGAAAATAGCGGCCATTCCCGCTAGTGAGGAAGCGGCGTCCCGGGCGACATTACTGCTTGGCGTCAGGGGCTAGCCGCGATTTTTTAGAATTGCAATCTTGGCGAGAATATTTATGTTTTGTGGTCCTAGATGTCAAAGATTTAACCTCTTCGTTTGGTTGAATCTGAAATTCAGGTTGGTAATCTATGTACGTTCGTCGATTGATCGAAAATGCTTTATAATAAATTTGTGTAATGAGGAATCGGCTAGCGGCGGCCGTCACCGCCGACATCTTGTTTTATGTTGTTATTATGAGTTGTAATTTGTCTGTATTGCCAGGCTTAGGGTTTGATCAACTTGTTCTGCTTAAACAGGTGTTTGTTTATTTTTTTAAGTAATATTAGCATCCTGGCGTTTGTGACGTCACAATCTTCTAGCGCCATTTTTGGATCGTTTACACAAAAGAACATTGCAGTAGGTCTATTGTTGAGGCTGAGACACCATTTTCACGCTTATCTAAAGTCACTGGCTACGTTTTGTGGCCAAACTTGCATCTTTGTTATTGTAGTTTTCTAGTTAATTTGTAGTCTTATATGTAGTTATCTAGTTTATACAGGCTTGGTGCTTCTTCTGATATTTAGTGTTATCATGAAGGCACAACAGAATATTAATACAGTGGTAGATGTTGTCCTCGTTACTCGGTGAACGGTTAAATTGTTTGGTTTAGCCAGTAACTGGATGATGAATGGTAACAAGTGAAAAGTTCCCATGCAGGCATGGATTCAAATCCTCATCATGGCCCCTGTAGATTTTCTCCAACATCCTCGTGTTTGGCAAGGGAGATAATGATATGCATAACAAGCTTCCTGTTCCACATTATGATTAATAGGCTTAAAAGAATGTGTGAGTATTGATAATTAATTTTAAGACAAAGTGCACCGTATATTGTTTGGCAATAGATTTTCAAACGCTTATCTTGAGATGATTTCGGGGCTTAGCATCCCTGCAAAAAAAGGTCCTCGACCAGGCCTCTATCTTACACACTCCCAGGAAGCAGCCCGTAGCAGCTGTCATAACTCCCAGGTACCTATTTACTGATAGGTGAACAGGGGCATCAGGGGTTTTACACCTGGTTTCACATGGAATTCTGTAAAGCCCTGTTTTGTGCCTCGGAGAGGTTGCAGGATGTGTGAGGGCAGTAGCACTCCCGGTTGCAATTGTTTTGACCATGTCTTGGCACAATCGACTATGGCCAATCGAGGGAGCCGGTCGGCCAAGCGAACAGCACGGGGGACTTGTGGTCCTGGGTTCGATCCCAGGTGCTGGCGAGAAACAATGGGCATAGTTTCTTTCACCCTATGCTCCTGTTACCTAGCAGTAAAATAGGTACCTGGGTGTTAGTCAGCTGTCACGGGCTGCTTCCTGGGGGTGGAGGCCTGGTAGAGGACCGGGCCGCGGGGACACTAAAAAAGCCCCGAAATCATCTTCGAGATAACCTCAAGATGGCATGTCTGGGATCGTCCCTCGTCCCTAACGTAGAACCCTCATCACGTGTAGATTTGTTCATCTTAAGGGGGTGAGGGTGGTTTCTTCTTTTCTTATGTGATATTTTGCAGATTTTGGTGCTTTGGATCCCTTAAACACTGCACTGCACACCTATTACATACGACACCCCTGTGGTGCACACAAAAATATAATAAAAGTAGTATTCTTTCAAATAGTTAAAATGCATTCTGTTGTCACTGGAAACATGAATTTTCTTTCCAGTAACTAAGGAACACATTTTAACTAGAAAGGGTCTTTCGACATCAGTATCGGTAAATAACTGTAGATGTTTTAGTCATTAAGTGATGCGTGGCGATGCTGTGAGCTGCAGCAACATAGGTTAAGCATGGTTGACCTATGGAGTCTATTAGTACTGAGGCTCGCACACCCAGGATGGTTCACGTGATTGCTTTTTTCAGACATCTGATTATTAGGGACCTAAAGAACAGGATGTGAGCCTATTGTATCCGTGGAAGTTTTAAATCTTACTCTAGATCTAAAAAAAAAAAAAAAAAAAAAAAGTGTGCACGACCAGTGCAACAACACAGGTTATGTGCAGTTTAAAAGTTAAGATTTGTATTTTGTCATACCACTGCTGAATATTATGGTAGCCAATCAACTTCAGTTTGGCGTTAATTATTTTTGGTTGGGGATTTCAGGATATCACTGAATCTAAGACATGTACTGTATGGAGGTTGTCTTTAGAAAGACACACTTAGTGGTTGGATAAAATACCTTTATAACTACGGTAGTATTTACACTTTTTCCTGGTGATGGCTCACTTTGAGCACCAATTTCAACCAGTGTATAGTACAGTACTTTTAGGCTTCATTTCGTCTTTTTAGACGTGGCACAGCTGGGGCACTCGGGTATGCACCACTTTAGGGGTCCAAGGCTAAATGGCCTCTTCCAGTACACTCGCACCACTTTGGAGATTAACTGCCACTATGGCTTGATATTCTTATTGCAATGTCAGTGCCAAATATTTCAAAACTAATATTAAGAGGATATTGGCCCTGATTGTAAGCTGGTGCAGTCTACAAAACTCACTGAAGAGCACCATTAGAGAAAATTCCTTCACCTGTTTTATTGATTACTTGACTGTAGTTGTTACCTGTACCTTTACTTTGCCTTGAATTAAAATTGTGTAAAAATCATTCATTTTTTTTAATACATTACTTGTCATGAAATATAACTTCAATTTTGCTGACCTAAAAAAAAAATTTCAGTCCCCAGCACAAGCCGTTGGGACACAAAAGAAGACAAAGAAATTGGTAGACAGTCCTGAATTAAAGAAGGCAGCAGCAGAGGCCCTGGATGCGGAGAGCCCAAAGAAGAAAAAAGGGAAAGGAAAGAAGCCAGAGACATCTGGCACAGAGGATATTAAGATAGAAGATAAGGTAGAGGGTGGACAAACAGAACCACAAGCAAAGAAAGCTAAAGGAGCTAAGGCACAGGCTGAAGGTTCAAAGGCCGAGGCAGAGGAAAGTTCTTCTGCTGAGAAAATACAGACAGTAGTTACTGAACATTCAGGGGGTGCACCTAGAGGAAGAGGATCAAGAGGAGGTTTCCGTGGTGGTAGAGGCGGAGGCTTCCGTGGTGCAATGAACGGCTTCAGAGGAAGAGGTGGTGGTTTCAGGGGCGGCAGAGGGGGTGCTGCTGGTGGTGCTGCTGCCGGTGGTGGGGGTGCCAGTGGTTTCAGAGGTGGCTTCAGGGGAGGAAGAGGAGGCAGAGGTGGACGAGGAAGAGGTGGTGGTGGTGCTGCAGGTGGTGGTAGCGGCGGTGGTGGCTCGGTAAGTGTTGTCATTACATGGTTGTTTTCTCTTTTGACATTTATAAATTGCCTGTTATATTCAACTTAAGTTTAACAGCATTCTGTCAATTGGTTTAATTGGCTTTGGCTGAGCTCAGACTAGTTATCTTCCTACCTACCTTCATCTGGTTTGTGTGCAATATTTATAACAGTTGGAATTTTGTGGTAACCCTTTCTGTATTCCCTACAGTTTTCTTGTTGCATTTTTCTTGGTTACTAATTTTTGTCTTATAAGATTTGTTGTTGGGTGCCAAGTATATTAGTGTAATTGTCATTGTGCACATACTCATTTTGTATGTCATATTTCTCAAAGTTCCTTGAAATTTGTGTAAGTCTTAATGAAATTAATATTTGTTGAACTTGTTTTCTATTTGTTTATATAATGTTTTGCACTTGACTAGTTCAGTTTTGTGCATTATGTAATATTAATTTGAAAATACATCTGGCTGCTATGTGAAATTGGAGTAGTTCTGTCTGGGTCTGCAGGCCTTGGGGGAGGGGGGAAGTGCATATGCCAAGGTTTAGGAAGAAAATATATTGTAAAGTTTAAAATCTCCAACCTCTATTTTGTAAATTGTATCTAATTTTGGGATGAGAGGCATATTTGCAGTTAGCTTAATTTAAATTTTGCTAATCTGGTTAGTAGTACTGATTTTAGCTTATAGGAAGTTAGCATTTGTATAGTAAAATCTATTTTCCTCTTATCTTGGCTTGACTTTGACTTGTTCATATTTTGTTCTCTGATTTTATTTATAATTGTTATATTTTCACAGGCATCTGAAAAAGATCCTTGTACTGTGTTCCTGAGTTTTGCAAACCCTATTTCTGCAACAGCTGCATCAGAGTTATTGGATCTTGCAAAATCTGCTTTACATATGAAGCTTGGAAGGTAATTAAAATTGAGTTATTAAAGACTACTGTATTCAAGTTCAAGTAAGTTTATCAGGAAAAGGAAGTACATCTCAAAAGGATAGAGTAGCTTAGGCTGTTTCTACCCTCTATATAAGGTGGCTCCTCTATACTCACTGGGCTCAAAAACCCATACAGTACACAAGTATTAATTATATTCTATGTTTCACATTCCAATGGTAATCACATGGCATACTGTGAGATCTCTTATTGACTATGTTGCCCCTGTCATGTCTTGTGTTGGTTCAAGTTCAAGTATGTTTATTGAGACAAAAAAAGAATACATCTAGCTACTCTATCTCAAAGGGATAGAGTAGCTTAGGCTATTTCTACCCCCCCCCCCTTCTTGTGTTGGTAAAGGCAGACTAAATAAGTTGGAGAAGATACAACATGAAGCCATGTTCACATTCACATAAATGTGAATTCACATTCACATAAATCATGAATGTGAATTATTTTCCAAAAGATAATTTTCTAAAGGAACATGAGGTTAACACTATTGCCAGCACCATGCACGCTCAGCAAACTTTGATGTCATGGGGCCAATGGTGCGGGCGAGCGTGCGGAGACACCTAAATGTGTATACTCGTTTCAGTTTTCTCACCTTAATTCTTGTGCTACGTCGTTCGTTTTGGTATCATTGTGTTCACAATTAAATTCCCTGCAGATGTATATGCATATAATGTCCAATAGCCTGGCAAGACTCCCCACAGCAAAGCCATTAAATCGGAAAAGTTACCTGTGAACACACAAAATCAGTAAAATGTTTATACAGTACTCGTTTCAGTTTTCTCACCTTAATTCTCGTGCTACGTCGCTCGTTTTGGTATCATTGTGTTCGCAAATGAATTCCCTACAGGTGTATATGAATATAATGTATAAAGCCTGGCATGCCTCCCCGCAGGAAAGCCTAAAGTTACCCGTAAATGAGCACCAATTTGTACACTGCAACCTAATGTGTATACTCGTTCAGTTTGATAACATCAATTTTCGTTACGTCTTTCATTATGGTATCAAATTGTTGGTGACATAAAGGCGTGCATTTTAAAACTAGTCCCAACATAATAGCACAATAAATAGAATTTTAACAAATATTTTAAAATTTTGACCAAAAACCTATTTATAATCATATAAGTGTTCAGACATCAAGTTTCAGGTTACATTTTTCATTTTGATATCAAATTGTGCGCATTCTGAAGGCGCTTAGTTTGATACTATCCCGTGGTCGATTGGATAAAAAATTAATTTTATACAAATTTTTGTAGTGGACGCAAGTCCGGTCCAAAGCTAGGATTCAAGAGAAAAATAATGGACGTGAGTCCGGTCCAAAGAGACCGATAGTGTTAAGTTGCATAGGTTCACAAACCAGGGCGCGAATTGGTGCAATTTTGTTTTAATATATTCTCTTTGATTTTTGAACAGGGGTGTTGACAGTTATGGTGATTAAGAGGACAAGACAAATCTCAATAGTGAAGTGCTGATATTGAATAATTTTAAATATTTGATGTTATTAATAGAGGGATTATTGCAAGCAAAGATGTGAATTGGGTTAGACACAACGAACTGGTGGTGAAAATCTTAAAGGTAATCTTTGTACAAGAGATTTAAAAAATATTGTTGAATGTAAATAAGTAAGGGTGTAATGTATGTAAATAAGAGGGTGCACAGTGACAATGCCAACCCTTTTATATGGGTGCATGTCATTAAAGTAGCATGAATGTAAATATTTACTTTGGAGTAGCATTTTATGATCTGTTACATATGTACATTTACAAGATTCAATGAGAATGTGTCGTATGTATGCATATGTAAAATATTATAAAATGCAAGATTGATAAACTGAGTTGGTTTGGAAATGTTGAATGAGTGAATAATGGCCTGCTTGTGGAAAATGTGTATAAATGTGAATTTAACTGTAAGAAAGTGAGTAAAGCATCATCCAAATAATGGGGTAATGATTTTTTATATGTAAAGTAAGCTGCATTAAGTATAGCAACATTTGACAGGCGTCAATGTCATGTATAGAATACACGAGGAAGGTGGTGTAGGTTATTAGGCCAGTAGGACTTTGATAAAAATTTCATCCATAATCTTGACATTTTAAATGTCTGTGGTATATCAATGTAGTTGGCTATGTTTTGTTATTTAAATTAAATATGCATTTAATGGCTTTTATGGATTTTATTTATAGTATGTTTAATGACTTGTGTATTTTTCCACCAGAAATTGTTTCCTTACATTTGCAACACCTGAGGAAGCCACAGAGCTGCTAACGAAGGCCCAAAATATGGAATTCGGTGGTTTGAAGCCATATGTAGATAATGCATACAAAGCCCATGGCAACCAGTACGTATACAGTATTAAAAAAGTTCTTGATTGATATTTATATATAGTAAAACATTCTCTGATCTTGTCTTAATTTTCAAATATTTAGATGTTGTTTTAAGATCTCTTATTGGTTATATTAAATGTAAAGCTTAGCATGCTCCTTAGATCCACCTAACGGGACTTAATTGTCCACCAACTTTACCGGTTGGCCATCGTTGGTGAATGAGTCATTAGCATGCTAGACAAGTGTACCTCCTCCTGCCAGCAAGTCTCACCAATCACACTTGGCCATCATGGCTAGGATAGAGATAATTGCCTCGGCCTGCAGTTACTCTTGTTGTGACTATATTGGTGTAACAGCTGGTGTTGGGGACAAGCTTTAAGATGTCTACTTAATAACACGTTTATGAAGTTAGAAGTATACAGGACAGTACATAATTTATAAGGTGTTTGCTGGGAGTACCCAGTGTGCAGGTTCAGATCCTCCTCATGACTCCTGGTTTTCTTATTGTTATATCAGGTTAATTAGATTTCTTTGCATTGTTTTAAGCTAATATTTTTAGTTTATTTGTAGAATTAAAACTCATTCTTAATTAATAGTATATTGATACTGGAAGTATATTGGAAGCTAGAAATATTTACTTAAAATGTTTTTTGTATTTATGTAACTTGCTTACCTGCAAACCATTTCTATAGTTCATTTGAAAGTCATTGTCAGCCTGGTCAGGAGGGCTAATCTCCTTGGTGATTGTGTTGTCATGATGCAATGCTTTAGTCCAGTACAGGGCCATGTAGAAAGAAGTCAGTCAGGCAGATCTGCTAACTGTCAGAAGCTGGTCGGTTCTCTTTAAGGCATTTATAGTGTTCTATTGATATGTATTGACAGGAAATGTATTAACCTGGTGCTGACAATGTTCTTTAATCTATGGTAACCTGACTTTTTATTAGATTTATTTTTAGTTCTTACCATTTCACTCCAGTATGTTGAAATGGACTGCACAATATTTTCGGCAAAATCCACTCAAATCTTGAATGGATTGAGGCACTGACTTAGGTTTATCTAGCTATTGTTTCCAGCTCATTACTGTGAGGTTGACTTATTAGTTCCAAATTAATCAGTATTAAGATTGAATTTACAAAATTCTCTTGTATTTGAGATTGGCTGTGCAGTCCTATTATCCATGCTTGTCAGCTTTGATTAGGTTGTGATCACATTTACTGTATTGGTTTGTGCCTCGGAGAGACTGCAGGATCCGTGTGAGGGCAGATGTACTCCCGGTTGCAATTGTTTGTCTTGGCACAGTCGATTAAGGCACGTCTGGGATCCTCTCGGATGTAGGTTCAAACCCTCATCCTGGCCCTTGTGGATTTGTTCCTTTGCTACACAGTATTTCTTGTGAAACTTGTATTTCTGGCTGTGATGTTTTGTGTTGCTGCATCAGGCTACCAGGGTGGTGCTCTCTGCACATCATCAGTACTATGGTTTTGTCATTCATTCATTGTAAATGGCTGACAGGCAGATGAAAATTTTTAACATTCCTTTCAAATTTCTAGGAGCATTTTTCATTTAGGTAATGAATAAATAAATGTCTTAAAAGGTGTCAAAACATTATTTAATGACTGTTATCAGGTGTGGTTACATATGCTAGGTAAGGTGGCAAGATGTAAGCTTCCTTCATAACCGCTGACATTGTGAGAAATTTCTCTTAAATTTATGATAACTCTACTTATTTTCAATATTTTATTAGCAAAGAATTTTGTGCCCTGCGAACTTGCCCAGTATGCTCATCTAGCTCCCTAGATTATGGTTACCTTGAGGTGTTTCCGGGACTTAGCGTCCCTGCGGCCTGGTCATCGACCAGGCCTCCAGATTGGAGGCCTTGGTCTCGCATTCGTAATATGGCCACATTAGGTGCAGGGCATTTTCTTTATTCGTTTATAAATCAAAAGTGTCTCGTACACTAGCAAATACGGTAACTACTGCCCTGCCAGATGTGGTCATTTATTCATTGCTGAAGCATTTCTGGTTTGGGTTAGCACTTTGGTTCATAACTTACGAATGGCCCTCTTAACCCAACATGTATTCTTCCTAATTAGTCTATCTTTCAGGAAAGAAGCTGAAAAGAGAAGTTCAGATGATGCTGCAGCCTGTCCAGCTAAGAAAATTAAGGTAAGCTAAAGTCATGTTTATTATGAAGTTAGTATAATATAGGCATATAAAAACGTGTTATGCGATTCAGTGATGAACTTATTTTTAGTCATTTTATTATGCAATTAGGTTTTGTTCCCATGTCTAAAGTTTAGGTTGAGGTGTTCCCATGTGTAAGCTAGCTAGCTGCCTTGTCGTGTGTTGTACTGTAAATACAGCAGTTACATAGTCTTCCTAGTCTGGCTGTTTGATAATTACTATAAAGACACTAGAATTGTTGTTTGGTGCATTTCCAAATACCCTGAATTATAAAGCTTCTATACTGTACTTCTGTTTTATGAGATAAAACAGCATGCTCCTTAGATCCACCTAACGGGACTTAATTGTCCACCAACTTTACCGGTTGGCCATCGTTGGTGAATGAGTCATTGGCATGCTAGACAAGTGTACCTCCTCCTGCCAGCAAGTCTCACCGATCACACCTGGCCATCATGGCTAGGATAGAGATGATTGCCTCGGCCTGCAGTTACTCTTGTTGTGACTATATTGGTGTAACAGCTGGTGTTGGGGACAATTAAGAATAAAATAATCTTGTATATTACTTATACTATTTACAATTATTTTAAAGGGGCTGGGTGCTTTTTTTTTCATGGATTTTTTTGCCTTGGTATAATCTACTTGGTATAAATGCCAACCTTGTCTAAATATTCAACATTGTAACAATAATTTTTATTTGTATTTGGGCAATTTTCAAAAATTTCTGACTACGAATATTCAGTTATTTTTTCATGGCTGTTTGGAATTCAGTGGAATATTTGTCTTTTATGCTATTTAGATTTCACATGGCGGGTTCTTGAACACCTCCATAAAGTTGGGATTTATGCAGTCTTGGCCTGGGCCACAATCATGGCTTTAAAGTTCTTTACAATTTAGACTTTTGCTATGACCTTTTCTTAGAAGCAGGTCATTCTTTATCCCGTTTGTCACTATAGTACTCGTCTTTCGTATAAATATTCTACTATTGGGGTTATTCTTTGACACTCGTTTGTCTTGGTTGCCCCATGTATCGCCTCATGAGTTTGATGCCCTTAACTTATTTAAGGTCATGCAATAAATGAAAACTAATTTGATTTCAATCAAACTTTTTTGACATATATGAAAAGGGTTTCAGCTCGTCCAAGTCTCAGCATTGTAGCATAAATAGTAAGAGAAAAAATATTGAATTGTCAAATTTTTTAAAAATCTCCAAATGGTCAAAAATTATCAAACAAGTGTTAACTGAAATCATGTTTGACTCGGCTATCACAATAACATATAATACAAAAATTTAATAATTAGTTTTATATAATTTTTTTTTTTTTTTTTTGAGACATTGTTTTTCTTATTTGTTTATCGGACGATTTGCGTGAAACTTGCACACCTGACTGCACGTAAGCCTATCTGTAAGGGTGCCCATTTTGGAGGAAATTGGTTGATGTCAATCTTGGCTACAGATGGCAGAACCTTAGACTTTATTTTACTTATTTTGTTCAAGTAACATAAACGTACCTATAACTTTCATTTTTTATTCAATTTACATGAAGCTAGTAGAGTTTAGATTTCTACAATCTGATTTGAGCTTTATTTCCTAAGTGCATTTATTGATTTTATAATAGTAATAAACCATGATATATTTGCATAATTTTTTTATGGAACTGACTTTATATTAGTAAGACTAAACATTTTGGACAATCTTCTGAATCAGATCCTTTATTGTATGCTAATGTGATAGAAAAGTGTCAAGAAATGATTTCAATTGAAACTTGTGGTTGTTATAAAGATTTGAAAATGTGTAAAATTTGTTGAAAAAAAACTCCCTTTCTATTTAGGCTGTAATACGGAAACTTAAAACAATTGCAGCCCTTTTCATATACAACTAGTCAAAAAAGATTGGTTGACATTGAACAACTTATAAGAAACGCAGTTAAGTTATTGATCTTTGATCTAGACAAACTATAGCGAGACCCATACATAAATTGAACTAGAACATGCATATTTTGTCACTGCTTTATCAGGGTTACAGATGGTGCACATGGTAGGCTTAAAGATTTTTAGTTGTAACAAGATTCAAAGACTTGTGTGGAGGTTCAATCAATTTTTTTCACCTAGGTTGACAAATCGGCTAAGGCCAAGGCCGATAAGGATGAAGATGATGAAGAAATGGAGGAAGATGAAGATGATCCCGAAGAGGATGATGAGGAGGAGGAGGAAGATGAAGAGGAAGATGAAGATGAGGAGGATGAGGAAGAAGGTGGTGATGATGAGGGTGAAGAGGCAGGTGGAGAGGAAGATGGTGCTGGGGAAGGTGAAGATGATGAGGGTGAAGAAGATGAGGAAGGAGAGAGTGATGAATAAATTTTGGCACTTGATAAAAGTTTTCAGGAACTTAGTTCGGAGATATTCAGATCTTGGTGGGAAATTCGTTAGATCGTTAGGTTATTCTTATATCTTTTACTGCCATCTTTTTGCCCCATTATAGAGTGGATAAAGAAGTAAATGAAAAATGTGGATTGTATTCCATTGAATTTAATAAAACCTAGCTTCTTAATGAGAGATTTTAATTTCACCCCCCTTTTGTATAGTCAGTGGTTTTTGTTGTGATGGGCGACATCTAGTGTTACTAGAATGAGTGTCATGGTTATGTCCCGAAGCTTACAAAGGTTCCTGTGTAACTAGTCTTAATGATAACAGCAGGCCTGTTAAATATAAGTACAGTATAAATATGTTCGTGGTGAGGGAGTCCAAAAGACCAAGTAAAACCAAAATTTTTAATGTAATGTACATTTTAAGTGGTAAATGGAAGAGTAGTGTGTAAAGGAGTATAACTGTAAAGTGCCATTTGTTTGAATACCAGATGTTCTAGTAGATCAACACTTAAGGTCACATTTAAGATTTAGTTATTTTCTTTGTTAATAATTTTTGGTATCTGGTGATATTGTAGGATGGAAGTGGATGTATTTTGTATCAATTTTGTTATTGCCCCTTTACTGTTTACTAATAAGCATCTTTATATATGTAGATTTCCTTCATGCTGCTGGAAGTACTTGGGTTATAACACTTGTGCTCTAAAGGTGGTGTTCAGCTTTACTGTTTGTATACAAATGGGGGTCAAGAATATGCTTCCTCTAGACAAATTAGTTTCAGGCCTAACTGTTAGAAAGGGGAGCAAGTATTAGTCTGCATTGACCTAAAATTATAATAATAAGTTAAAGTAGATTTATATATTAAGGTGAATACATTTTGGAACTGTCAATTTTGAAGAAATTTGTACTGAAATTTATTTGTCTGTAATGTTTCCTTGGGAACACTTCATTTTTGTTTATTAAAGGTTTGTAAAGGAGTACCTGCTAGTTTTTCTATCAAAATTTAATAATTTGCTAATGACAATGTTTGCCCAAAATTCAAATATTCAGTTGCTAATAGTGCTTTGGAAAAACAAAATATTCATGTCTGATTGCTGCACCTTATAGAATGTCCCAAATTTTTCAGGATCGAGCTTTCCCAATTTTCCTATATCTTTTAGTCATTTATCCCTCGTCATACAATTTTTTGGTCTCATTAGCATAGTGAGCGATATCAAAGAGGTCTCTTGAATGTCTTTCCTCACATGGTGCTATAGTCTTGGCCTGTTGAGTTATATTCAGACATATTTGATAAACTATTAATTGCATAATAGTTACATACCTGTTGCATTACAACCTAACTACTATAGACTTTAATGGCCTGATTTGACTATTAAAGTTGTAGAAAGAGGTGGCTTTCACAACTTCCTATTTTTAGATCATTCTACATTTTACCTACCAGTAAGTAATTTGATAATTACTTACCCGTACAGGGTAAGAGTAGTTTGTCCGTCCAGCTTCCACCTGTGTACTTTGCGTCCAGCTGTCTTGGTCTGAAGGGGCTATCCTTGTCCACCTTATCTATATCCCTCTATTGTAATCATACCTTGTAATCATACCAGTTTGTTCTTTCTATGCTCTAGGATTGAGAGCCAAACATGCTTGTAGCCTAGCCCTCTTAGCTCTGGCACCAATCTTGTTGCAAACCTCAGTACTTGTTAAATTTTGGCTCGTTTCACAAGGTGCGGATTCTTCGCACAAACGTTCCTAAGATTTTTTTATTTGCCAGCGTCCCATATGCTGCCGGTGTTATCCTGTTTGCCTCCAGTTAGCGTGAATTATATCTACTCCCAGATCCCTGTAGTGCCCAGGCATCTACCATTGATGTGTGAGCTCTCTCCCTTGGGAAGGCCATTCACGTAAATTAGGAACAGCAGCGGTCCCAGGACAGACCCCTTATGAAAGTAGAAAAATAGTCTACCAAACTTTTCCCTTCCCTATCTTATTTTAATAACCACCTTAAAATGCGTTGATGGCCTTCCCACCTAGAAGTACCTCATACCATTAGGTATGAAGTCAAACAAATTTTCCTGGCGACAGTGAAGAGTTGCCAGAAACGATAATTTCAGGAGTGTTGCCATAGACGGATTTGTGGGATATTTTCACAATGGCCAGTGTAGACTTAATTAACAAGTAAACAACTTTATTTTACTAGTGTGTATATTTACTACACTGAGCTCACCATACTGAAGCAGCAGCATCGTGGCCCAGACTTTTTCACAACACACACAAATTAGGGTTGTCCGTTTCGATCTCATAGAAAACGACGACCCCTAAAGGAACCAAACTACCTCAAATGTTGTGTACACTAGTCAAGCGTTGCCCTGCAGGTAGGCTGCAAACCTGGTAGCCGACCCGTCCGTGTGTGTGCGCGTGCGCGTGTAATTACCCAAGTGATTACCTAAGTGTAGTTACAGGATGAGCTGCGCTCGTGGTGTCCCGTCTCCCTAGCACTGTCATATAACCTTTGAAATTACTGACGGTTTTGGCCTCTACCACCTGTGTGTGTGTGTGTTGTGTCTGTCTAGAGACCGCTCTACCGTTCAGCCCAAGAAGTTGTACGAGCCACAATATAAAAAAATGCAGTGTTAACACATGGAATGTTAACATCACTATGGCAGTGATGTGAAAGAAGCGGGCACTACAGTTTGACATGATATAGCCCAATAGGCTCTATAGTCTACATCGGCTCTTTGGTCTCTAATAACAATCGCCTGAAGTTTAACCTCCGCAAGCCCAACTAGGCGAATACACAATCTTGAGGATGATCTGATTACCCCAGAATAGGTCCTATGGCGCGCCTTCCTGTCTTCAGAACCACAAGCAGGTCAGTTCACCAGGCCAGTTCACTGTAATTATGCTATAACTAAACTAAGCCTCTGCAGGTCAGCCTCCAATTTCTCCACAGATCTGTGAAGCTTAGTTTGCCTACTTGTAAAGCTAATGGGTGGGTTTATAGTCCCTTTTTTGAAAGTTTAAAAGACTAGGTTAACACTAGTAGGGCTGTCGTACCGAGGGAGTAGACTTTGTACCGTCAAGTAGTGCCAAGAGTTATTTGAGTGCTTACCACCCATAATGTCAACCTTCAGTGGTATTACTAAATGCAAGATAAAAAGGAAGATGTTGTATGGGGAGGGGGCAAGTCAGTCTAGTTTGGAATTATATTCTGGGGTCTATGAACACCTCCAAACTAGACCTGATCATCCGGGTTGTGGGTTCAGGAAAGCATCATCTAACAGCCTAATTAGAAACAGCCGCGAGAACATTGTGCCCAGCTGCCAGCAGTACAAATCACGTTTAATCAAGATAAAATAGCGTTTGAATTTAGATAAACTGCAACCTCAAAGTTTGAAATCAAGAATCGGCGCGGGGCATCAGAAAGTCTTCAGATCAAGTTAAAGTACGTTTATCGAGACAAGAAATACATCTCAAAAGGGATAGAGTAGCATAGGCTATTTCTAACCCCCTATTCCTCAATTCATAAGTGACGGGCAATTTGTTTACTTTTGCCCCAGGGGAGAGTATTGGGCAGGGACACTCAATCCTGCGAGTAGAACCCCACGGTGGACATAACGTCATAGCAGCATGTACAAAACACTAGAAAAATCGTTGGGTTCTTAATCTTTTTTTATTACCCACAGCTGGGTACTAAACATACATGTCAGTTAAGCATATGTACTTAGCTATACTATGTACAAGTTAACAGCGTCTCAAGAATTAATGATAAAAAGAAGCCACCAGGCCGGGAAGGTCTCAAACAATAATATTAACATTGTCAACTTTAATAATCTTATGTTAAATAGCGGGTGGAAAATGGGGTATTGTCTTACCAGAATGTATATTTGACAAATATGGTTTTTCTAACTATGTGGGGTTAATTATTTTACACATTTTTAGTGACTGGTGGTCAAGGCTGCGTCCATCACTTTCACGGGAGATTCTGCAACTCTTCCGCTCAACTATTTCCAATCCGCATCTCCATGTATATTTTTATCAAAGACGGATTCTTGTTATTACCGATTCTCTCCGGCGGCCTCCTCTTCGTCTATAATTGGAATTGCCAGCTGCAAGCATTGTACCAGCGTACAAATTTACTAATTTTTTTGTTTTATCGTCAGTTGCCTTGTGATGGGCTGTGCAACTTTTCTTCCCGTCGTAAATGTTCAATACAAAACACTGTTGCCTTCTCCAGTCTGGTTGTAGTTGGCCGGACCTGGGGACGAGACCAAGTTGACATTAGGATGTCACGTTTAAAATAACTAGTACTGCACAATTTGTGTTACGCAAATTGTGTTCATTAAGTCAAACAATAGCAACCTTCTCTACCGCCCACAAAAGGAAATGTGGTGCACAACTAGTTAAACTATGGGTGGGAGTCCATTACCGAAATAAATTAAGACAAATATGGACTGGAGACGCAGTGGTACCTAAAGCTTCAGATTCGCTTAATGCTGCCATTTAAAAAAAAAAAAGAAGTAATATTATTGTGCAAACAATTAAAGAGTAAATTAATGATTGGTATTTAACAAAGTTTTCAATTTATGAAACTGACATTTTAAGTGCCATGTTTATAAAATTGTGAAATTGAGAGTCAAGTAGTAACATTTATAAATTTTAAATATTGTACGTTAAGATTCTGATACGTATACACACACATACCTAGGGTATCTCGCGCTCGGGTAAGTAAGCGAGGGGCAGGTAACCTTAGAAGTTCTGTGGTCAGCGTGCGGAGGCGGGGAGGGGGTTTTTGCTACTAACTGGTACTTTAAGGCAATTTTACGATTAATATCTACGACAGGAAGTTACATAACGGGGGAGGGGGGGGGGTTTCTACCACATACAGCTAACCTTTAAAAGACGAAGCTGGAACTGTATACCGAAAGTGAGGTAAAATACACTGAAGTGTGTTTTGATGATGATGATAAAGATTAAGCCACCCAAGAGGTGGCACGGGCTTGAATAGCCTGTAAGAAGTGCGTTTTCTCTCAGCCTTCCTTTTATATCCAGCAGCCAACCAAATCCGGGCGCTGACTGGTTGACATTCACCCTAGAACTCACTCCATTGGTTAACTTTTTGCGAGTCTGAAGTGTCAATTATCAATGGCTAACAGCCACTCCTTCACTTCCCCAAATACGAACGAGTCTTTAACGAACCAGCAATGATCCCAAGCTTCAATGTTTGAAGTTGTTAATTTTAAATCTAATACACACATCAAATACAACAATCTATTGTAAACGTTGCAACACAACAACAGGCACAACAGAGCAACATTTGCAATATAAATCGTCCGTCAGTTAAGAACTGTTAATGGCTGCTCGACAACTACGATATACAGTATCTGCAATAACAGACTAACAAACCCAACAACCATAGTGTCTGACACAGCACTGGATGATGTTAAATATTTGCTTTCAATTGACTTAAGATATTGCTCGTTAATGACAAATTGAGTGATTTTAACTTATTGAGGTGTGGACATTTAGGCTTTATAATAACTATTAACGTCAAGGATGACATTGTTCAGAATATTATTCTGCACAAGAGGCTTCCTCGACGATCACTTCTTGACGCCGGATGGGTCCACGGCGCTCCTCTCGTCTTCTAAACAAGACTTCCCGTGACCTTCCTTGGTCTTCTTGTCTCCGTCTTCCCTAGGTATTCCTCGAGCGCCTGGAGTATAAGTCTCAAGACGAGTCTTATAGGATGTCAGGCGGTTCCCAGCTCCAACCTGTTCATTTCTGCCTGTTAGAGCTGTATGTTTACCTCGAGATTTATAAGCTTATAACTTGTCTTATCGTAACCTCCACCTCAGACGACAAAAGCCAGACAGTATGGAAGGCAACAAAGACAGTCTCGGGGTACTAAAGAGCATCTACAACGACGAGATAACATAATATGTTATATTATCTGTCACGTGACACCAGCCTCTGATTTTGTGCAGGGATATTCCTGGCCCACTAAGTGTTGCTTGTTTCTGTTTTACTTGGGCGGAGTATGAGTATTTATGACTCGTATGGTCGCTTTAGTAAGATTTTGCCCTGTGTTTAACAACTTCTTCTGCTCTGTTGAATCTAAGTTGAAATCTTAATGGGTTTGTAACTGTACACTGTCCAGCCTCTGATGTTGATGCCTCTCAAGTCTTCCTACTTGGGAACCTGTACACTGAACATTGCTACCTTCAATACTGCCAGTGAATCCTAGGGATGGTTATAGGGTTCACAAATATAGTCACTGGATGTGTATGGGGTCCACTACCACCCGTAGGATGGGTATAGGATCCACTACCAACTGTAGGATGTTAATGGGGTCCACTAACAACTGTTGGATGAGTATGGGGCCTACAGGATGTGTATGGGGGCCATTACCACCCATAGGATGGGTATGGGGGGTCCACTGCCTGTGTGCAGTGTGCAGTAGTGGACCCCATACCAATACTTTGGATGGTTATGGACCCCATACTCATCCTATGGGTGGTTGTAGGCCCCATACCCATCCAACAGATGGTTTTGAATCTCTTACCCATCCTGTAGGTGGTAGGGGATCCCATACCTATCCAGTGGGTGGTAATGAGCCCCATACCCATCCAACAGGTGGCAGTGGACCCCATACCTATCCTTTTTGTTGTGGTAATAGACCCTATAAACATTGTGACTTGTGAATCTTATTATCCATCCTGGTTATCTTGAGATGATTTTGGGGCTTAGTGTCCCTGTGGCCTGATCCTCGACCAGGCCTCCTTTTTGTTACACACCCCCTGGAAGCAGCCCGTAGCAGCTGTCTAACTCCCAGGTACCTATTTACTACTAGGTAATAGGGGCAAAAGGGTGAAAGAAACATTTTGGCCATTTGTTTCCGCCTTCACCGGGGACTGAACCCGGAAACTCAAGATTACGAATCCGAAGCGCTATCCACTCAGCTGTCAGGCGCCTTAGTTGCAGTAATGTACCCCATAGACATTCAGCGTCACATTGTTATCTATTGACGTTCCAACAATCCATCCTCTTCGTTTTTCATAGCATACACTATTGAATATAATGTGTCTAAATCACAAAAATTAACGTGATGATTATATTGTATATAAGGTTTGGCAAATGAATCATTAGTATATGTTATAATTTATGAGTGCTTATTATAATTGACCGAGAAGATTTCCAAGATTTCGCTTAAGCGCTAACCTTTAACAGGATGCACTGTAGAATAATGGCTTAAATCATGGGTTAAAACAGTTGACACAGAATGGAGACATATATTAACCTTTTTTTCAACTGTTTTCAGTAGAGTAAACTATTGTAGTAAAGAGAGGATTCATCTGTCAACAGCTATCATTTTTGCTGACAATCAATGACACTATATTCATATATTTATAATATGTATATATATATATATATTTTTATTGGTAGTAATGAGTTGTAAAGATCGTAACATGCCAGGAATGAGGGAAACCATTTACAGCATCACTAGACCACTTCATAAAATAATGTATACAGTAGTTAGTATCCACTCATTGAAAAGATATTTCTTTGACTGTGTTCATGAACATAAGGATATTGTTTTTCATATTAAATCACAATAATACTGGAAACATCCACCTTTTTACATTGGTTCATAAGACAGCAGTAACTGAACCAGTGACATAAGCAGCATCTCTAAGTAATGGGATAAATGAGAACACTTCCCCGAATTATTTTTTTTTTTAATATGCAATAACATTTATATATTAACATCAAATACTGTAATTGTATTTACAAAAATATTTACCATACATGTAATATATACATAAGAACCAAATTACCAGTAAATAGCCTACTAATTTTAAATGAAACAATGACATCTGGCAATATAGCCATTACTTAAAGTGGATACCACTATAAAAAGTTAGATAATCCAGTTTCTGCAAAACAGGTTGATACTATAAATTCTAAATACTGTACATATACTGTACTGTATTCTAGAAGTATTTATATTTTGTTTAATTTTATAGGATATTAAATTGGTCATAAAATTTAATAAATTCTTTTAAGATTGTTAATAATTATTGCATTATATTTTTACTAAGTAATACTGTAACCTAGTAGAGAAAAGCATTGTTAAACTTTACCAAAACGAATTTTTAATAAAATGTTTTGAAATCCCACCACAGCATCTCCAAGGTGTTTATCTATTCACAGCATTTCTTCGGATTATAAACATATACTTAATAAAGCAATTTAATTATTTGTTCTTCATTTTGGCTTGAACATTAATGACTCTTTTAGTGGGATCGTGTTTGTATGTTCGGATAATAGGCCCAGCTCCTGCCTTTTTGAATCTTATTTCATCATATCCCTGACGTTCAGCAATTTCCCTTGAAATCTGCATGTTCTTCCAAGCTGAGGAAGATATAAGAAATATTAGTGCCATCTTTATAGAAATGTACTTTTAGATTTCATGCTCTTTTATGAATAAAAATACTGTAGAAAGGCAGACTAACTGTAACAGAGGCAAAGGAGACTTAAGTCTCTGCTGAGAATAATGGTTGAGATGATGCAGTCATAGGGAGATACAGTACTGGAAAAACATAAAAGGAAAGTAGAGGCAACAGTAGATACAGGAGCAAGGTGTTAAGATTTGTAGAAAACATAAATGAGTAAAAGGTATGTAAAGGTGAGAACATACAGGGGAAACAAATCACACATGGTAGGAGGAGTGGAGAAATGAAGACAAAAAAATGGTGAGAAAATATTAAAGGTTAGGGTAAAAAAGAAGAGGGAAATTAAGGAGAAAGGAGTGAATCAAGTGAGCAAGGAAGGAAAGAAATGCAAGAGAAAGGCAGAGACAGGGAACAATATCTGGAAAGCGGGAGAACATACATTTTTCCAGATTCTTAGTGCTCTCACATTTTCTTAACATTCTACATACACTTCCAGATCAACTCTCAACACAGTCACTAAATTATACCATTCTTCAACTTCCATTACCTTTTTCCTTTTACTAACCCTTTTTTTTTTCCTTTAACCACTGCACTGCACAAAGCACCTTTTGAGAGTTGTGCTTTTTTTTTTAATTAGGCTATATTTTAATGTTTTCATTACTCTGAAATTAAAACAACAAAAATATGTTCTTGACAACTGCACTAAGAAGTTTTTGCAGAAATCAGGTACACAGTACAGTGGTTAAATTTAAAACATCTGCTTTAATCACTTATTTTCCGCCCTTTTCATTCTTCTCCTTTAAACGTTTTAAAATGAATTATTAACGTCTTTTCCCTCTTATCAAATTGTCTCCTAAACACCCTTTTTCTTGTCTACCCAGTCTACCACAAACACTTCTATAACATCACAGAAATGAAAACTTACATTCCTTGAAGCCTTCTATTGGTCCTTTCTTCTGCTGAGGAAGTGTCTCTTTTTTATGAGTGACCATTTGCTCAATGTTGAAATATTGCCTTACAGATGGGATCTTGAGAAAGCCAACTTGGATCAGCGAGAACATGTTGGTGGAGACCCAGTAGCACAACACGGCCTATAACAATGTTATCACCATTACAAGGTCAGTTATAAAATAATATTGTAGTATCATATTAGTATAAAGACATCTAGTCCTGCCTTCCTTTTGAAGACGACATGTAAACAATAACTTTGCTACTCGATCATCCTTAATCTATTCCGCATATCCTCCTTTCTTTCTTTATTATGCACCCCCATACCCATCCTGCCCTGACTTTTAACATTGGTATATTAATTTTCCATACCAAGGTATGGAAGGTATCAGGAGAAAACACCAAGCCATTATGACTATATAGCACTTGAAAAGGATATGAGGATAAGATTTTAGGATAGGATGGAGGAAAGGAAAAGTGCCCAATGACTTGGATGGTCAGAGATTGAACTCCAACCTGTAAGAATTGAAGCTGTTGCTCAACTATCCAGTGGTTGGGCATCTTATATTTAACACAATATTTTGTATTAGTTTCCTAAATATATATTGGTGTATTAAAAGGTAAAATATAATCACAAGTATTTTCAGCAAATGTTTGTCAATAAATACACGAATAAACACAAATATGTACAGTATTGTGATCTTTGATGATCACACACAACTCTATGACCTGCCCTTCTGGAGCTATCAATTAGTTCAAATAATCAAGGTTACATAATATATATTTTTAAGCAAATTGGAGTTGATTTACAAGTTTGGTAATAGTTTTCTTTTGTATGTAAATGTTTTCATCACGTTTAAGATTACTTCAATAATTTCTATCCTATAATGAAGGATGGTAAATATAAAAACATCACCCTTTTTAAATTAGAAAAGTATAACAAATCAAGTGTGCAATGTTACTAAATGCCCTTTCCGGTAGCTTCTCCCTTCCCCCCACTATAAATATACATACATATATAGTACGAGAATAAAAATTACTTGCCGCAGGAAAGTTTATCGTGAATGGTAGGATAAGCAATGGCAATCCACGCAGGAAATACTTCATAACCTGCATGTTTTGTGCACTCAGTCTAGCACTATCTGTTCCAAGCTGAAATTAAACATCAAATACCACAAAATAAATTAATACACAAGACTCGACACTAGTGTGTATACCACCATTTTCACTGCACATATTATACACTATATACTATTGTGATGAAACAAGTTATGCCTGAATTTGAAAATGATGGAAAAAGAATTACAGGAAGTGGTACTAAGGAACTTGTACCACTACAGTCTGCAAAATATATTGCTCTCCATAGATTACTTTATTTGTTACAAACAACAGGTACATTTTTTAATCCTTTCTACCACATTGTCTCCATAACAGCAGCAAAGAAAAAAAATCATATGCAGAAGCACCCAAAGGATCAAAGATAAGATCATAATATCAATTATGATATAGAGGCTGTATGAATCAAGCCTGAAACAAACTAGACAACCTGAAATGACAAAAATTTCTTAATATTTTCAATCTCAAAAGGCAAATACGAGATACATGTTAAAAGAGAAGGGAAGGAGACTGAAAAACAGCTGACAGGGATTCTCACTAAACACAGGTTAAGAAGACCATCAAAGGTGGACAAAACTACCCAGTTAAGGCAACATTTCAAATAATACCTCTGTGAAGTATAAACTGGCAGGGGTAAAGGAAATTGTAGGACTGAGGAGTATTTCACAAGCTATACATTGCCTAGGACAAGTCTAAAGGGAAGGAAGCTGAAATGTCAGGCCAGGTAGGGGAGCCTCTTGACAGCAAAAACAGTAGACTACCCAATGTAGCAAACACCAGCTCATTGGAACAAGAGGGAGTAACTACATCAATGCACACTTTCGATCCTCCAGAAAGCATAACAAAATGGAATGTCTGACCCTTAAGCAAAAACAAAGCTGCCCAGTTAAAATGAGTAGCATTAAAATTATGTAAACACATCAAGACAGAATTATAAACAAGGGAGCAGAGCTACATGGTTCCAGAACTTATGGCACATATCCTCACAGTAAGAGAACTGATTAATCAATGGAGTAGATAATGCCACTTTCCCTACATAATACAAGTAACAAAATTATGATAGTGGGGGGGAGGGGGGGCAGGGGCAGTAAAGCCTTAGAGCACCAGTTATGTTGTGATCGAAAGCAAAGTATTTAAAGAAATAATGCACCAGGGTGACTACTTATTATGTATGTCAACAGTTCAGACCATGAAAGTAGTGGCAACATTCATTTACAACTAAATGCAAAAATGTCATGGGAGACAATATGCAAATGCAATGAACCCTGCTTCAAGGTAATACAAAAAGAAAATAATATTATATATATAAATTCAATATATAAATTTTTTTGTACATATTTATTAGTATAAAACATGCTGAAAAAACACATGGAAAAATAAGATTTCTGAAAGCATTTTTGCCTTCAGACCATCCTCAGAGTAAAATAGAACATTATGCATGCATGTCTGGTTAATTGGGATCTGTCACCATTAACTAGAAGCTGTGGTTACTGTCTGGCAAAAAGTAACAAATATATTCTTACGGAACATAGCCATATAAGCCTTTACAAGCTATTTCACCATAAATAAAATAAGACATGCAAGGTTTACAACATTTACTAATCCCAGCACCAATAAATGACATGGAAAAAGCGATTTCACTAAAATAGCACAGGTATGCCTCGGTGACATTTGCCAACAAGTAAAACTTTTGACATTACAGTAGTTACATACTACAACCAAAATTTACAAATTATACCTCTATTGTGGCCAACATGGTGATTGATGTAACAATGGGCAGAAGGTAATAAGGGTCACAAACAGTTAGGTCAGAAAACCAGAAGAGACCCCCAGTCTTGAAGCTTTCCAATGGCAAATTAGCCAGTCGTCGAAGTCCAATGAACACCGAGATAAAGATGGGGGCCTGAAAAGAAAAAAATGTATACAAAAGTATTAAACATTATTTGACTATTTAATTCTCTCCATTGATAAGTTATTCAGTCATAATAAAATAAGAACAAAGGCAAACTGCAGAAGCCTTGTTTCCTCTTGCAGGATGCCACCTATCTGTACCTAACCAAACTAATCCCACATCAATAACCAGGTAATTTTAGAAGCAACATTTCTCTCTCAAACTGAATACAGTACCATGATTGGCTAGAAATTACTTGACCAAATTGGCAGCAAGTTAATCTGGATTCTAATCTGGATTTGTCAGATGTACTATCAGGAAAAGCTTTCCGTATTATTGGGTGACCAACACTTGAGGGTTCCCAGTGCATATTTATTTGCACTTCATCAACCACCCCCCTACCCCCCCCAATTTATTTGATTTAGATTTTTAAAAACTTCATGTGGAGTTATGATGCAAAGTACAGTAGTGGATGGGTAAAGTGATAGTGTGTGCTGTTTATGTATACAATCAGTCCATTAACCAAAAACACTTACATAAACAAGCACACACACAAATTCACTTTTACATTCTTACACTCACTCACTCTGTTGACATACATGAAAATTTTTATGACAGATGAGGGTGGTAATCAGACACAATGTATCAGATTGGAGAAGTGTTACTAGTGGAATACCACAAGGTTCAGTTCTTGTACCAGTAATGTTCATCTATATAAACACAGAGTACTGGAAGGATATCACATCATGAGCATAGCTCTCATCCTGTTATTTTGTGTGTAATTACCTAATTAAAGTAACATTTTAAAAACAATAAATACTTAAAAAAAAAAAACAATTTCATTGCATATATGGAAGGCAGCATGTGGAATAGGTTCATGATATTGCACATGCTGTACGACAACCTTTCAACACATGCTAGAAGACTCAAGTATACTAAAACGTTTTCCATTTTACATCAATACTAAGAAACTATACATTTTGGTGAAAATGGGGAGAAAACATGCACCATAAGTAATCTGGTAGCCAAATGTTTTCAATGTCACATATGATATGTTTCAAGTCTATGAGTCTATGAGTATGATATGGTAAACAAAACACTCCCTACACACAGACATATGCAGGAGACCCAAATTTTACAAAAAGCTTACCTGTGCAAGAGGAACAATTACATTCTTTAATGGATTCATGTCCTTCTCCTTCATAAATTGCACTATCTCTTGACCATATCTTGCAGCTGATGAAAGAGAAATTGCACCTTCAGAATATGTAATCTTTCACAACTTAGTACAAATAACTACAAAATATGTAAATAACACAATACCTCTCCAGGACTATAGTCCATAATGATAAAATGTTGCTGTGAAATTTCCAACCTTAAACAATAAAGCTGGGTGACAAACTTTTAACACTTTAGATCGCCGGGCGAGCGAGCACCAGACCACCCCAAGGTGTGCTGCGCATTCCACGGTAGCACGTGGTTTTTGAATGTTGGTTTTCACCCTTTTTCAATTTTGTCACATCAATTCTCATCCTAGGTCATTCATTTTGGTATCAATGTGTTTGCAATAGAATGCCCTGTCCCTGACAATGGAAGTTATTATTTGCCAACATCTCCCTCTCTAATACAGTACTCTCACCTCAACCCACAATGACCTAGCTGTTGTGATGGCTGAGAATCAAGCAAAATAATTTTTCATCTTGATCGTAACTCCAGCCTTATGATTACATATAAACAACGATGCTTCGACTACATTTTAGATTGTTACTCCTCAGATAAATTCAAAGCCTAAGCCCTAGCCTCAATTACCCAGAGCATAAACCTCATAAACAGAACATAACAAAGTTATGTAATACAATAATCAACAACTCATCTGTGCAGTGGCAGCTGCATCTTGTTTACCCCAAGACATTTGGCCATTAGCACAAACAGCCCTTAACCTAACCTCTTCCACTGACCACAGGGGTTGTTAGACTTTTTGCACCAGCATAGGTGGGCAATAGTGTTACCATATCCCTACATCACATCATATACAAATAATTCAACAAGATAAAAAAACTGATAATGAATTTATAGTTACCAGCTAATTGGTTGCCATAATTCCTGGCCTCGGTCATCTTCATTTGAAGGATTTGGAGCTGTGGCATATAGTTATTCATCTTGGCAGCATTTCTTTGAGCCAATATTACCAATGGGAAGAGTAGTGTACGAATGACCACCGTAGCTGTGTGAAAATTGGGCATTTATCTTATATTTTATGTTTATATAATAAATATGGTTACAGTGGGTAAGATATTGTGTAGTTAATATGCTTAAAGTGATGAAATTACTTTCTAGTGAAGATGCTTTCAGTGATGAAGATAATATGTAGTGAACATGATGGATAAGCAATACTGGGCACCCCTATCATTTTGTACATCTTATGACGTTATGATTTCACAAGTTATCAAATATCGACATACTGTAATTGATGTCATATGTAGCAAATATTAGTGAATTTCTCATTGGACAGGCACTAAACACTAGAAAACATTTATAATTGGTTTCATAAGACCCTTCTTACTCAGAGCAATAGCACCCCACCAAGGAAGGTCTGCAGATACATGTAGAAATTCAAGACAGTTCTGGAAGATACCAATTGGGCTCCAGCCACCTAAGCCAAGACTTTGAAATGTAGATTCACCAAGTGCATTTAGAGCAGGGCCTATAGCTTCTGGAGGTACTGGAGGTGGAGGGATGTAAGTTATCGAATCTGAAACGGAAAATATATTTAAAAATGAGCTCTATAAACAGGCTCTTGTGGTAGTTGTCCATCATATAATAGGATAAAATATAAATTTCACTCGGTGAAATTCACCTATAGAGCATAGGAAATATTAGGGTATGAACGGTAATGCGTTTAACATTTATCCGATCATCGTTTTAAGAAACAGTAAGAAAAACAGCCGGTGCCTTGGAAGGCCACTGAGCATAACTAACAAAATTCTATGGTTCATTTTCATTTTGAGTTTCACATGAAAAATATAGAAAACTGGGTGAAAAATGCCCTCCCCCCAAAAAAATTAATTTCAGAAAATACTGATATCACACAAAATCCATAATTATATAATCTAGATACAGTATCAAAGGTGTACCTGTACTTGCAGTTTAACCCAACTAAGCTCTTTTGCCAAAGAAATATAGAAGAAATACAGAGTACCCTATACTGTATTAATGTGAAAAAATATAAATATTCTCCAAATTCTACAGGAAAGATACTGTAATAACATGTATGGTAGGTGCAACAAAACGGGTACAATTTGTTTACTAAAATCATTCCAAGCTGAAATCTAATACAAAGAAAAACTACAAAACTTATTTGGCCAAGTGTCAGCGTATAGTTTTTCATAGTAATTGGTACCAAACAGTTCTTGGGCCAAACTCTTTCATATATGACTGTTCAACTGTACATAGTAAGCCGAATCCATGGGCATACACCAAAGTATTATACAAATATGATTTCAAATTAACATCTAATAAAAGTTAAAACCTAAAAAATCAACTCAACTAACCAAATGAGGTGTGTGATGATGCAAAAGCTTCACCAGCAACATCTGACATTGAGTGAGTAGTAGCATCATCAAAGACTGTGTGACCCAAAGTTGCATCAGGCACTGAATGAATGGCTGTACTCGTATCTTGAGAAAGTGTGTCAACACCCATGGAATTGGATTCAATGATCTCTTCATTGGAGTAAGGTGATGCAGCATTCACAAAGAATATCTGAAAAAGAAAATAATGAATATATAATCATAAATGTCATGAATAAGCCCAAATTAATAATACATGAATAAGTAATTTATTTACAATACTGTATTGTATGTTGTAAGAAACTATAAAATGTATATACAAAACCCTAAGAACTTTTGCAGCTCTATGCATTAAGTATAAAATATTCCAGATGCACATCATCTGGGAAAATAAGCCCTTCATGCTCAAAATTTTAGTATGTAGTACAGACAGTTATTAATTTGGTCAATAGTTATGCTCTTTAAAAAAAAAAAAAGGGGTGCAAATCAAACTTAATAACGATACAGTCGGGCTCGTTCTCAACGCACAATCGAGAATTCCGAGTTCGAATCTCAGACAGGACAGAAATGGTTGGGCACATTTTCTTTTACCTAATGTCTCTGTTCACTTAGCAGCAAGTAGGTACTCAGGAGTTAGTCAGCTTGTTGTGGGGTTGCATCCTGGACGGGGATGCAACTGTGTTACCCGACACGGTGAATTATATTTGAAGAATAAGGTTTTAATATAATAGTGCTTACCAGCCTGACTATGAATTTGCATAATACACTGCAGTATATTACTGTACCAAGCAATTTGTATGCCATCTGTACTGTACTGTAAATGGTGTCATGAATAAGTTCTGTGCAAAATTTGTTAATATAACCTTATAGGCTAGATGTAATCAGTTCCTCAAAAAAGAACCAATACTGTATTTGTTTTTTTAAATAACAACTGAAGAGAAGAGCTTGACACTTAGCATCAATATATTGCTGGATGGAGGAAATTATCAGGGGGAACAACGCCAAGCCATTACGACTATATAGCACTGGGAAGGTGTCAGGATAAGGATTTGGGATGGGACAGGGAAAAGGAATGGTTCCCAACCATTTGGACGGTTGGGGATTGAACACCGACCTGAATGAAGCGAGACTGTTGCTCTCCTGTCTAGCCCAAGTGGCTTAATATTGCCACTTGGCAATATTATTGAACGCATTATGGTATTTGTTCTATGTAACGATGCAGTATGTAATGGTAATTAGGGATGGCTATTTTTGGAAACCCTTTTTTTTTTCTATTTTCTTTCCTCTTTCTGATGCCTCCATACCCCATGAAAATGCATTAGTCGGGTAGTGATGGTAATAGAGGTTAACAAAATTCGAAAAAATTACAACAAATCAGAAATTCCTAGTGTTTGAATACAGTATTAAGATGATGTGCATATTTTTCAACTATTTTTATTAATCTAGTACTTGTTCTGGCAACTTTAGGACCATAATAGGCTTCAGTGACAGTCGGTTGCCAGCCTACGCACACAACGGCTGCAGCAAGGATAGCATCATGCAAGTGTTTTGGGCTGATCTTTGATACCCAAGCTCCCCTCTCACCATATACAGACAGCCAGATTTTGGTCTTGGCTCAAATAAAGCAACTATCTAAACCCTCCAACCATTTGAAGCATTTCTACTCTTCCTTATATTTTGCTTATGGAATATCAGGAAAGCAAGTCGGGCAACTATAATCATCAAAGCGCTTATAATTTTTACTGTTAATAAGGAACATATATAAAATGTTGATCAAATACACACACACAGACACGCAAAAAAAAAAAAAATCAAGTTATTGTTATTACAAGAGAAATATTACTTACCTTATGTAATATACTGCTAGCCGAGCTGTTATGTCTGACACTGGATCTGGTAACTTGTAATGCAAGTGGTCTTACATTTAGCCCTTTTAGAAATAACTTCGATGAACCTCCACAGTGCATCCATTTGTTTCTTTTAGATGATGTACCAGTATGATAGCTTGATGATGATAACCAAGAACCAACCTGCAAAACTTGTTTATTTAATATTGTATAATCATTATATAGGTATCTAAACCTATAAGTACATTTATCTAGAAATTTTTACTCAAAGCAATAAATAAGGCTTATAATTAATGTAAAAATTCCTTTTCAAAGATCAATAAACAGCCAATGCTGGAACCCATCCCCATACAAAAATCAAATCACACCACAAATGAAAAACAATTTATCAACATTCCAGTAACTGCCATGCATCATATAAAAATGTGAATTGTTGAAGAAGGATGGCCTATGGGCATCAATTTCAAATCTCAATATGCAGAGCTGATATTGAACCAAAAAGGCTGATTAATTAGTTAAGCAGATTCCACTTTTTGTAGTAGTTATACACACACTGCTATAACAAATGTTCAAGAGATGTGTAAATATTGAAATCAAAATGATCTGCTATTAGAAACTTTAGCCAAATATCCCCAGTTTGTTAATTGTAGGTAGTAACTAAGTGATTGTAAGCTATCCACCGCTGCCCACTGGATGGGAGGCAGTGGCCATGATAAACGTATCAATCATGACACTAGCTCTCCACATACGTCAGTTGCTTAATTTAGAAACTGTACTTGTGGTCGGTATTGAGGCCAAAGTTGATGTGACGAAGTAATTTGTTGTTTTAACTAACTTGTTTAGCTAAATAAATTTTGGGGGTTCAATCCCTGAGCTCATTATGTGGCTCTATAAACCTTTCCACAACTTCCCACAGGATGGGTAAGGAATGCATAATAAATGAAGTAAATTATAATAACACACGAGCTTTAATTTATTTATTTATTTATTTATTTATGCATATACAAGAATGTACATAAGGAATGTGAGGATACAAATATGGTAATTACAGTCTTACAGTAATTACAGTAATGGCAAGTGATAAGTCACTCTATACATACGACATTGCTGTTGGACGGATTTCAAAACCTACCCACCCTTACCAAACCTAATCTCACGTAAATCAAACATAGACCAACCTAAGCTAACGATATATAAGGCCTGCACACTCAGAAAACGAGCATAGTCGAAACGTGAGCATACACCCTGGAAATACACAATGACGGGAAAGCTCTCAAGAGCCCCGTGGTAGCGTGGCATGTATACTTTTTTTCAACTCACCCTAATAGTAGTTGTGGAGGCTGTGACAGAATGGCGTATCATAGAGGAGTTACCGTGTACGAGACATTTTTTCAGGTAGCCCGAGCCGGTAGCTCGTAGCGCCGCCGCCATCTTTGTTGTGGTGGGGGATTACGGACTTAGATTATAACAATATAATAAAAAAATTAATTGTAACAAATCAATTTGAGGAATCTAAAATTAATATAAGCAGATTGTCTATTTAGGCGCAATACATTTATTACCATTGAATTTTTTGGTAGTTACCCATGAAATGAGATCACCAGAAAATGAAGTATGAAAGAAAACTTTTTTTAAAATATTGATTATAAGCCGTTTTATGCCTATATGAGAGGCAAAACCAAGACCAAAAAGAAACGAAATCTGGTTCACTGCACATATCTGCAGTTTGAAATTATAAATTTGTATACCGAAAATATCCTAATTACTGAAAATGGCGATGGGTCATATTTTACCCAAACCCCCGTGCAGTTTAAAAAAATGGTAAATATCGGAAATATGACTCATGAGCGAAATTTTGTAGCCGAATTCTGGCTCACTGAACATATATGTAGTTTGAAAATACGAATTTAGATACCGAAAATATCGATGGGTCACATTTTACCCAAATCCCGCTGCAGTTTTTAAAATGTCGGAAATATCGCATATATGATTCATGAGCGTTGTTATGAAGCCAAATTGTGGCTCATTGCACATATTTGCAAATTAAAAATGCTAGTATTTATAGGGAAAATATCCTAATTACTGAAAATGTCGATGGGTCACATTTCACCCAAACCCTCCCTGCAGTTTTCCAAATAATATAAATATTGGAAATTTAACTCATAATCATTAATTTGGCTCCGAATTCTGGCTAACTGCACATATTTGTAGTTGGAAATTACGATTTTTTATACGAAATATATGACAAATACTGAAAAAGGCGATAATTCAAATTGTACCCAAACCCCCCCGGAAGTTTTGAAAATAATGGAAATATCGGAAACGTGACTCATGAGCGTAATTTTGGAACCGAAATGTGGCTCACTGCACATATATGCAGTTGGAAAATACAACTTTTTATACCAAAAATATGCCAATTAGTTAAAAAGGCGATGTAATGGATACACATTCCCCCCCCCCCCCCACTCCTGCAGTTTTCCAAATATCGGAATTATCGTAAGTCTGACTTGTGAGCATAATTTAGGAGCCAAAGTCTGGCTCACCGCACATATTTTCAGTTTGAAAATATGAATTTTATACCAAAAATATGCCATTTACTGAAAATGGCGATGAGTCACATTTTACCCAAATCGCCCTGGAGTTTTCAAAATATCGGAAATATTTGAAATCTGACTCATGAGCGTTATTTTGCAGGCGAGTTCTGGCTCACTGCACATATTTGGAGTTGTAAATTACGACTTTTTATATGGAAAATATGGCAATTATTGAAAACGGTGATAGGTCACATATAACCAAACCCCCTGCAGTTTTCAAAATATCGGAAATATCGGTAGTGTAACTCATGAGCGTTATTTAGGAGCCGATTTGTGGCTCACTGCACATAGTTACACTTTGAAGTTACAACGTTTTATAGCGAAAATATGATAATGTGTGTGAAGTCGGCGATGGGTCCCATTTGACCACCTTTTTTGTCTAATTTCCTTGCTCTGGTGTTTGGATTGTGTGTTTTGGTTGTTCTGTTTTACTTGTTGTGCTCATTGCTTTGTACATATGTTTTAATGTTTGGTGCTGTGTTCGTATGTTCTTTGTTCTCTTGCTTGTTTATGTACTTGTTGTGTTTATGTACTTGTTTGTTATGTAGTCATATGTTTTCCATATTGTTTTCGTGTCACTTTCTCTGTTTTGTTTTATGACTTGATATGTTCCGATGTGGTGTGTTGGCGCCCATTTGTATTGTATTTATTCCGTTTTATAAATAAAAAACAAAAAAAAAAAAACAGTCCGTTGTGGACCATTATCATGTCGATTGTGATGAAAGCGAAGAAGTCAGGGGTATTTATTTTATGTTATTATTTGGTGCATAACAAAGCCTAAATTAGATCAAATTAAATGTTCAAGTTGTATCAGCAGTTCAATTATCGTCTCCCTCCCCCGGCCAACTGACGGCTGGGTGGACAGCGCTTCGGATTCGTAGTCCTGAGCTTCCGGGATCGATCCCTGGTGGACGGAGGGACAAATGGGCAAAATGTTTTTTTTACCCTGATGCCCCTGTTACCTAGCAGTAAATAGGTACCTGGGAGTTAGTCAGCTGCTACGGGCTGCTTCCTGGGGGTGTGTTAAAAAAAATGCCTGGTCGAGGACCGGGACGCGGGAACACTAAGGGCCGAAATTATCTCAAGATAACTCCATCCACAATATAGTAATGAATATTACAATTACTTATGTTGTTAATATAAAATAATATTATTATATATTAAAGTTCAAGGCATAGGTTAAGTTAGGCGTTTAGGTTCTGTTGGCAATAATATGTAATTGAACTACGTGGATGAATCATTAATAGCATTGCGATTCGAACAGAGGTCGTGAGCGAAGCACTGTTCGAGAAATGTTCGAACGTCATCACTTGTGAGGTGAATGTAAAATGTTTGTCTTTATAAAAATGTGGGTTTGGTGGCTAGCTAAATGAGCATTTGTCATTTATTTATAAGGACGGACAGTGTAATACATTGAAGATATTGTCAGAAGTTCCAAAAAGTGTGTTGGGCTTAATCTACCACCCTGTCAATGGCTATTAACGTTACTACAATAGTTTACCAAGCAGCAGGGATACTTGTAGCCCTAAACATAGTCCATGAGTAAAGTAAACTCAGTGTGTATACACCGAGAAGCTGGGTATAATTCCTAGCCATTTCAAAGTTAATTGAAATAATACTCATATGAATTATTAGGGTATCCAACTATGTCGAGCTGACCAATGAGAACCAAGAGTACAGCTAGAGAGAATGTGACGTCAAATTGAAAACGAGAGACGTGATTGGCTGTTGAGTGCACCTGCTGGTAGAGGAGCAGCGGAGCGTTCTTTTGCCCCTAGAAGTTGAGTAATACGGTTGTCAACTTTAGGGGTGTGTTAGTGGTCTGTGACTCTAAACCCTGTTGTGGACTGAGGGTCACTGGGGCCCACAGACCCCTAGTGTACACTCGATAAAGTTACACCGTCAAAACACGATTATCTAGGGGCAAAATATATATAATTTCAAAGTTATATCTCGGGGTATATACGGCGTACACTAGTGTTTTTTGGCCGTATATACTGCGATGACTTCAGTGTTGAATAGTCTTTTAAGTCTTAAAATGTTTTTTTATTTTTGAATGACCTAATGTGATGTTCACTTTCCCTTCAATAGTCTGGTGTGAGGCTGCTGGAACCAGTTACATATACAGCTGTGACTATTGGGACCGTGAAACTTCATTGGTGGTATAGCGCACTTCCGGTGGCGTTAACGTTATGATGGGAACATATGAATCATCGTTGGAACTGTTAAGTCTGAACTTGACGACCAGAAGCGGCTGGCTGAGATGTCTCCGGTGGCGCAGGTAAGTATTAGTTCTAGGTTAAAAAAAAAAAATCTTAAATGGAAGTGGAGGTAATTATGGTGATAGTGTAAACCAAGTAACTTTGATCAGTTACCATAGGAGGATGGTGCTGCTGCTATTATTCTTCCATGCCGAAGATAAGGTAGTTAAGATTTTAATGGTTTTTAGGTGTAATTGTCAATAGTTTACTTAAAGAAAACATGACTTCGCCTATATTTATGGAAGGGGTTCAATTTCGAGCTTTTGAGGGAAGGCATTAAATTGGGGGTTTTAATTTCCAGTGTACGTAGTCTGAGAATAGGTAGGTAAAGAGGTCAGCATGTACTCGTCCAGTTGAAGTCTTTGTATAAATGGTAAGGCTAAACTTAGTATTAGCTAGGCCCCCTCCGCTTTTCGTTCAAGGTGGTGGCAAGTTAGGGTTGTAAATCACTAGCAGTCACCTTCGTAGCAAGGTTTGACCTAGAATCGTTTACCCCCCCCCCCTTATAAACCGTAAATATAAATCTCCAGTATAACTTATTAAATAAATGTAGTAGTTAGGCGAGGTATAGGAGTAGTTCATTGATTGAGGAACATTAAATTAGCAAGTGGGGGTAACTTTTATCTTGTTGCAGGTTATAACTCGACGTAGATTGGCTGCAGGACCTCCTCAGGGGGTGAACGAAGACTGAACACAATAGTGTTGTATTCCTGAAGGCAGTCGGTGGAGGATGTCTTACCTGTACTACCTACGAAGACTTGGATAGGTTGTACCTTGCTTCATATTAAAGGTGAGCCTGTGTTCAAAGCATCTAAGCTTTGGCGGGGTCCATGTAAAATATAGTATGGTAACATTGGAACGTTAAGCTTGAATTGGGCCAAATCTTAGTACAATTGTCCAAGGTGAGGCTGTAAGAAGCTATAACGTAAATGTGAACGTACTATGAAATTTGAAAGCTATTAAATGCGTACCCTAAATTTATGTTGAATGTTTAGGTAAGTGCTTATGAATAATGTTAAACATTTTAAGCCGTTGTCCAACCCGTACTGGACTTAAAACCATTCCATCCAGGGGTTGACAACCCCCAGATGCATAAATGTTAACATGATCTACATTCCACGCGGGAATGTTATCCAATAAAATGTACATAAGTGTAATGCACAATACACAAGTGTATTGTGCATATATAGGTGTAGGTTAGGTGTTATGGATGTTAAGGTAGGCGAATATCTTACGTGGGTGAAGCATTTATGGCGTTGTGGTTTGAAGAAAGTTAGTCTGCTAAACTTCCAACACCTCATGCTTAACTGTAGTGTGTTTCATTCCTACAGAAGTTAAAATATAGTTTTTTCATGGTATTCAAGTACCTAGGCATACATAAGTTGGCACCGTGATTGTGTAGTACCCAAAAGTAGGCAGGACGTACATCCTCATTATCGAATAGTTCCCTTTTAGTAAGAATTGTATAATTAGTTTATATATAGGGGCTGGAGTCTGTTCATGAAAGTGATATAAAGGCTCGGTTAGAAAAGTCAATAATGGCATGTACTGTAAACTGCCATGTTGCAGGGACAACTGGCCGTTTTGACA